TGGATCGTTAACTTTGAGTCTTCTGGTGTTAAGAGTAACCTATGTTTAAAGTAAAATTAGTGTTAAAAGGGGAAAAACAGCATTTGACTGAAGTAGCTTCTTAATTTCAGCTTTTGCTTTCTTTATGTATAGGGTTTTAAAGATTATATTTTTCTTGAGAGTCATGAGGAATAATAAGTGAGAAATAAATACATCTTTATCTAATGTGGAAAAAAGGAAAGTTAAAAATTATTATTTTGAGCAATGTGCAAAATGAAGTTTCTGCTTGTTCCTCCCCCCACCCCCTCTTTTATAACTAACTAGTATGTCTGTCAGTCACAGAGAGGTTGGGGAGCTAGTCCTGCAGGCAGGATTTGAAGCCTGGCTGTTTACTTGTAGCCATATGATCTTTGGTAATACTCCAAACTGTAAGCTGGAAATTAAAATTCCCTCTTCAGCGAATAGTAGTAGGATCAAATGAAGCAGAGGGTCAGTAAATGGTAGATAATATCCTTATTAGTAGCACAGGTGATAATTATCATTAATAACTATTACATTAAATATGTGATACATGGGCCTCCCCTGGTGGCGTAGCAGTTGAGCGCTGCAGAGGCTGCCCGCAGCCTCTGCAGCGCCAGTTCGTTCCCCGTCCACTGGCAAGGGTCCCACAAAATAAATAAATAAATAAACAAACAAATAAATAAATATGTGATACACAAGGTGCTATGTTAGATGCTATTAGAGGACACAGTGGAAAGCGGTAGAATAAAGTTACTGAGTTTACATAGCTTGTACATAATTTCGGGCCATATACTTTAGGTAAAGAGATAACTGATGAGACAACATAATATGTGCATAAAATGATTAGGGAGATAAAACAGTCATTATTTTGCAGGGTGCTTTGGAAGCTTTCTTTAGGAAGCTGTATCTAGATCTGAAGAACAGGTAGAGTATGTATGGACAGAAAGAATGAGGCTATTTCAAACAGAAGGCAGTGTCTTACCCTTCTCCACCATTCATTATGTAGTATAACATTGATATTAAGAGTAGGAGAAATGGTTGAATTTTGGCCTCAGTACTTACTGTGTAACTACCTGCATAACCACCATAAACCTGATCTGTGATGCCTGTGAAAGCAGGATAGAGGTCTCATTCATACTGTCACAAATGGCAGTTGTGCCCTCCTTTCTCATGACTGAATAATATTCCATTCTGGTGTGTGTATATGTATCCCATCTTTTTTACCCATGCATCAGTTGATGGTTATTTCTATATCATATCTATTGTGAATATTACTGTGATAATTATGGTAGTGTATGTATCTCTCTGAAATCCTGCTTTCATTTCCTTTGGGTATATACCCAGAGTGGAATTGCTGGATTGTAGGTAGGACTATACTTAATATTTTGAGGAACTTCCATATTACTTACCACAGTGATTGGGCCAATTTACATTCCTACTAGTGACATAAGAGTTCCCTTTTCACTGCATCTTCAGTAGTACCTGTTGTTTCTCGTCTTTTGATGACAGTCACCATAGCACGTGTAAGGTGATACCCTGAACGCTGGGAAGAAAGACAAACACTGTGTGATATTGGTTATATGTGGAATCTAAAATGTTAAACCTGAAAAATTAAAAGGAAGAGTTAAGTGCTGGTTATCAGGTGATGGGGTATGAGGAGGTGAGAATAATGTTGTTTAAGGATATAAGCTACCAATGAGTGGTAAATAAGCTATAGAGATTTAGCATGTACTGTAATGAATATGGACAATAACATTATACTACAATTATGTAACATGATCAATATCACTATAAAGGCAATTATATTACAATATATTAATTGTTAATAACAGTACACCAAAGTAACACATTGTCCATCTTAAACCTACACAGTGTTATATGTCAGTTTTATTCACTACAAATAAATCAGTTTTAAAAAAAAAGAATAGGTCAGGATGGGGTCCTAGCTTTCTGAATCTCAGTTGCAAGATCATTTGGGGAAAAAACATTACAACACAATATTGATTCTTTATTGGTGACTTTTAAGTCCCCATTTAAGTAACTCTCCCATGTTTAAACCTAGTATTGCTTTTTTCCAGTGGCATTAACTCTTGGATTTTTATGGCTCTCTTATGGTGTAAACAGTTGATTAGACAATGACTATGAAAAGCGTATCTGCTGCAAAGTGAAATTTCAAGCCTTGTCAAAAATATAGGATTTCCTGAAAGTAATTTCTGCTAAAAATACATTCAGACCCATTGATAAAGTTTTGTTATGTGTAATCCTTATGAAATGCTTACTATGTTTCAGACACCTTTTAAAATACTTTCCATTATTTATTTCTTCCTCACTACAGCCTTATAAGTACAAACTGCCATAGCTCCTGTGACAGGCACCGGGACAGATGCACAGAGTCCATCCAAATCAAGCAGCCTGCCCTGGCATGCAGACTCTGGTGTCATACTGCTTCTGCCTCTGTCAGCTGATAATCATCCTTAATAAAAACATAAAGGAGAAGAATATACCTGAACAGAGACAGATTTCCAAAGAATAGAGAAAACTTGTGAAAGATTAATAACAGCTTTCAACCAAGCAATTCAATAGTAGTCAGGACCATGGGCTCTGGGGCCAGATTGCTTAAGCTTCATTGCGCCTTAAGCTGCATGTCCTTGCACAAATTACTCAAGAGCAACAACTCAGAGTCTCAGTTTCCTTATTTATAAAGTACAGGTAGTAAATTGTTTCTACCCATAGCACTGTGATGTGGATTATATGACTAAAATGCCTGTAAGTATTTTAATGTGCTCATTGAACATGAATTATATCTACAGCTATTTGCAAAGTCACCCTTTTCATGATCACGTAACAAAAGTCAAACGTGATGGTCTTATGCTCTTCCCCAGTATTTGGATCATTTATTCTTAAAAAGCCTCCCATACTTGTTTAATTTTTATCTAAGAATGAATGTATGGTTGCAGTAACAAAAATGTCATTAAATAAAGGTTGAAATCAACTTGTTTTCATTTTATTTTTCGGTGTAAAACCGGAACATCAATTCTTCTCCCCATATTTACTCTGAAATTTGGATTACAGTCCAAGTGGATTTTCTTTGTCACTTTGTGTTTTTCAATACTAACTAGCCTCTGGTAATGAAGACCTATCTCTTGCAATTTTTGTTAGGATTGAGTGACTAGTGCATGTGAAGTGCAAAGCATGCTGTGACTACTCAATCATTGTTAGTGACTTACTGATTTGTAATATTTCTGTTAAGTGGAGGTGGCATAAGCAGAGTACAACTATAAAAATGTGCATGTTTCATTCATTTCATTTGTAAACATTGAGCACTTCTGAATCAGACCTGAGTTGAGATGCATGAATACAAAGGTGGATCAAATATATTTCTCCCCATCTTCTCCCTCTCCTCACCAATACCACTTCCCACCTCTCTCCCTCCCTCTGTCAACTTTCAACTCACCCCCTCACGTATTCTCTCTCACTCTTTCTTACTCTCACACTTACTTTTTCTCACACTTACTTTTACTTTCTCACACTCACCTATTCTCTCACTCTCATACACACTCACTCGTACAGAGCTAACAAGTCTAGTGGAGGAGTCACAAGTAAAAACTTATGAAGCAAGTGGAATAGAAACATCAAACCCATGTGATCATGAAGGAGGGAATAATTTCCTTTGCTTAAAGGCTTTTGGGATATTATATTGAGAAGATAATTTGGGGGCTGGATGAGAAGTCAAGCCTTGCTTAGGCAGAGGAATTTCACCTGTAGAGGAATGAGGTGTCAGAAGTATAATTTGTGTGCAAATGTAGAGGATATCAATGCCCAGATTTAGGACACTATCCCGTAGTTTTAGGGAACCATGGAGACTTTTGTTTTTAAGCAGATTTATTGAGGTATAACTTCCATATGGTAAGAGTCATCCTCAGAGTGTGTTTGTGTTTGGTTTGATGTTTTTTGACAAATGCATATATCCTGTATCACCATAGCCATCAAGATAAAAAAATGTGCCCCAGAAGTTCTCTTGTAGTGATTTTCCCTCTGCCCCTGGCAACAACTGAACTGATTTCTGGGTCTTTTCCAGAATGTCATAGGGAATCATAGCATGTAACCTGTGCTGGCTAACTTTTTTCACAAATCATCATGATTTTGAGATGCATGTAGTTGTTACAAATATACAGCAGCTTGTTTATGGAAGCTTTAAGAAATGAAGAAATTTTGCCAAGTCCCTTCAGGAAGATGAGTCTGCTAGTGCTGGTGTGGATTATAGGGTGCCAAGGGGAGTGGCAACCTCCAGTCCATTTAATAGGATTGTTACTCAGATGTGAGGTGGAAGGCCAAAAGTAATTTAGTAGTAGGGGAAATGGATAAGAGGGGATTTGCAGGGCCTTCAGATGAAGGAAAACAATGGACTACAGTTGGAATGCAGGGTTTTAAGGAAGAAGTGAGGAGATAAAACAAACAGTAGGATTAAACCATTCTCTTTTTAGGGAGTGCTTTAATAAAGTTGTCATCTCTTATGAAATGTATTTATTAGTTAAAGGATTTATAAGCCTTTTTGTAAGTAAATATTAGTTTGATAATGATTTACGGTAATATTCTCTAATCATTCATTAGTAAAGACTACATTTAGACCAGGATCTAATTTCTTGGAAGAAAGTAATATATATGTTTTCCCTGTCAAGTAAACTTTCACAGACTTCTGATTTCATCTGTGATATCTCTGTAAATGTTTCTCGTTTCTAGAAATCATTTACTTTCTCGTAAAGGGAAACATTCATAAAGCCAGCTTTATTGTGTGTGCTTTTTTTTTTTAACCTCTGACTTTGGACACAAATGACCCACTAATGGTTACAATAGGTGAGATGTAAGATAAAATGCTAAGATGCAAATTGATCCTCACTTAGTCTGGGAACTGCAATGAAGATTGTGTTTTAAATGTCAAACAAAAATTGTAACTGAAAAATCATAAGAACGTGAAAACTGAACCTGTGATTTTTCTCTAGTTTTGCTCCTTGAGAAGATAGAACATGACGACATCTGCAATAAAACCTTGAAGATCACAGATTTTGGGCTAGCACGAGAGTGGCACAGGACCACCAAGATGAGTGCTGCAGGCACGTATGCCTGGATGGCCCCAGAAGTCATCAAATGCTCCTTGTTTTCTAAGGGAAGTGACATCTGGAGGTAAGTTCCAGGTGTTTGCACACATCTGCAGAAGCTGCTTGTTATGCTTCATTTAAATGAGTCCCAGAGTATTCAGAAATTAAGAGCAAAAAGGGTAGGATAGGCCTTTTTTTTTTTAAAGATTTATTTATTTATGCATACAAGAGCTGGGGTGCAGGCTAGAGATGTGGGGGGTGAGAGGATTCACCAGAGACAGAATGGGGAGCAGAACAAGCAGACTGACTGAAAGACACTGCTGAGGGAAGCAGTGGGCGAGTCAGGAGAGGTCTGCTGCACCATGTGGGTAGCTGCCTGGCCGGCCGGGATCAAACTCATACTGCAGAGCTTGTGCCACCTGGGAGGTCTTGGACAGGCCTTTTGGAAGAGGGTTTTATGGTTTTGAAAAAGGAAGTTTAATCACAACAGAACAGGTAACTTGAGGTTTTTATTGTCATATGACTTTGTCAGTTGATTGGAGAGCCCTCCTTTGTCTCAGCTTTGATTAAAACTGGGGTTAATTTGAGTTAATGATGATACCAAGATTCTGTAAGGCCTATCAGTAAGTAAAAGTAAGTTTTTTGCATGAAACAATATTTGGATTCTTCATGATTCACAGAATATTAGCATAGAAAGGAGGAGTTTGAGGGGGAAAAATTGGACCAGCCTCTTTATATTATAGATTGCATCATCTAAAGATTAAAGCTTCTGGCTTGAGGATGGAGATTTGGATTCAAATGTGTTCTCAGGTTAGCTGGATTTTCCATTTGGTTGTGTCTTAAGGGATGAAGATACTATCAGTAACAGAACAACAAGGAAAAATCACTGTAATAGTTTCAGTGCACCAGGAGTTTACTTGCCTTTATTTAATTCTCAGAAAGTTCTGGGTGGCTAGTATTGAAATTGCAGGTTTTTTTCAGTGATCATCTTTAACAGCTGTACTAACATATAATCACATATCATACATTCACCCATTTAAACTGTAGAATTTCAGTGGCTTTTTGTATATTAATAGAGGTATAAATCTCTATTACCATAGTCAATTTAGAACATTTTATAATTCAAATAAACCCTACATGCCTTCACCATCACCCCCAACATCCTATTCCTCCCAGCCCAAGATAACCACTAATTTATGTTTTATATATTTTAATTTGTTTATTCTGGACATTTTATATAAAAAGAATCACACAATATATGATCCTTTGTTTCTTTTTAAAATTGGCATAATTTTTTCAAGGTTCATGTTATAGAATATGTCAGAATTTCATTCTTATTTATTATCCAATAATATCCCTTTGGATAGATATTCCACATTTTGTTCATCTGTTCATCAGCTGATAGGCATTTAGGTTGTCTCCACTTGGACTATTCTGAATAACACTGCTGAGAACATTTGTGAACAAGTTTTTGTAGGGACATATGTTTTCAGTTCTCTTAGTAGGTCCCTAGGAGTGAAACTGCTGGGCCACGGGGTAATGATGTGATTAATCATTTAAGGAACTGCCAGACTTTTTCCAAAACAGTGGCACTAGTTTTCATTCCCACCAGCAGTATATAAAGGTTCCAGTTTCTTCACATCCTTGCCAACACTTGTAAGCTGACATTTTGGCTATAGCCATTTTATAGTTAGTAGTGGTTTCTCACAATATGGTTCAAATTCCATTTTTTTTAACTAGGAGACAAATAGGGCATCAGAAGTTATTCTCTTAAATTCACACATAAAGTTATTGGCAGAGCCTATTAGTATACATTCAAAATAATTTATTTAAAGGTATGTATTCAACATATAATTTAATAGTTCTTATGACTTTCAAAAAATTTATCAACCGTGTTAAAGGTTCTGTAATGTCTTAGAGTCATTTTGAAAAACACAAATGCTTGAGCCTCACCCCTTACTTAGTGAATTAAACTCTGTTGGTGGAAGCTGAGCATGTGGGTCCTTATAAAACATTATATGCATTTTCTTGGAAGGGATTATGCTTTGTGAAGTAAGTCAGAAGGAACAAGAAAAATTTGGTTTCACTATAGAAGGAATATTGGGAAAGTGAACAAAGGGTCAGGGAAAAAAGACAAAACTTGCAGGCAAACTATAGATCTGAGGAATACCATAGGGGACGGGGAGGGAGAGGGATCAAAACAGGGCCAGGAAGAGCACAAGGGCCTATGGTGATGGTTCACAGGTGAATTGGTGGTGGGAGATATATGGAGACTACACTTGAGGGAGAAATGAAATATTGTACAAAAACGAATAATAATGTAAGAAAATAAAAAAGTTTAATTAAATTTAAAAAATTAACTGTGTTTTCTTGATTTAATTACAGTAATTTTCTAACCATGTGATAATACCAAAATACTTAAGTTAAATTGGTGATTCTTATATGAAATTACACTTCCATATTTTTAAGAAATTGTACTAAAACAAAATACATCATAAATCAAATTTACATTCAAAGTAATATTACTTAAGACTATGACCATCTTGTTTTGTTTGCTTATTTTATAAGCTATATAATTACAAGCTATATCAATTTGTATCATCCATATAAATGTTTCATAGCAACCTCATCTATTGTCAACATAGATTCGAATCAGGAAGTAAGCAAAAAATTTCTGAAACCAGTCATATGCCTCTAGTCCATATGTCTCTAGTCTTTCAAAATTAATTCTCAGTTTTAAAAGCTTATCTGATCTTGAGGAAAAGTAGATAATTAGAAGAGAGGAGAGCAATGCTAATGTGATAATAGTAGAAGTTGGCATCTGATATGGAAACAACCCAAATGCCCAAAAATAGATGACTGGATCAAGAAGATGTGGTACATATACACCATGGAATATTACTCAGCAATCAAAAAAGATAAACACATGCAGTTTGCAGCAACATGGGTGGAGCTAGAAGGGATCATGCTCAGCGAAATAAGTCAGAAAGAAAAAGAAAAATACAGGATGGTCTCACTCACAGCAGGAATTTAGAAAACCTAAATAAGGGACCAGGAAAAAGACAAATTAATACAAAGTAAAAATCAAAATCAACAAGCAACTATAAACCACAGACACACTACAGGGGCAAGGGATGGGGCGGGGCAGCGATTAGGGTCAAAATAAGGGGGGTTGCAATTGTATGGGGAGTATAACCAAAATGAAAATGCATGCATTGTGCAAAAATGAAAAATGATGTAAGAATTATATAAAATATTAAAAAAAAAGGGGGGCCTCCCCGGTGGTGCAGTGGTTGAGCGCTGGGTTGCGAAGCTACCTACAGCCTCTGCAGAGCCAGTTCAATCCCCGGCTGCTCCCCGGCCACCGGAGGAGGGTCCCACATGGCGTGCAGACCTCTCCTGCCGCCCACTGCTCCCCTCAGCAGTGTACTTCAGTCCTTCTGCCTGCTCTGCTTCCCGCTCTGGCTCTGGTGAATTCTCTCACCCTCCCGCGCTTCTGACTGTATCCAGTGCTTGTATAAATTAAATAAATAAACAAACAAATAAATAAATAAAAGATTATTATAAAAAAAAATTGGCAGCTGAAAGTAGGTGACAGGAAGAAAAAAGCATGAAATACTATGAAGAGGACTAGAAACTACTGACCCTTAGGAGCCCTCTAGTTGTGGGGCCAAATATCCCCACACAGCTAGACAACGTATGAGTAGATTAAAGCCCTAGAGCCACTGGGTGTCAGGGTGTGTGAGAGTGGGCAAGGCCATTGCTCTGAACCACATGGCCTCTGCTTTAGACTGTCTTCCTCTGATGCCATAAATAATTTTACTGGGGCCTCCTGGGTGGTGCAGGCAGTTGAGCACAGCGCTGTGAGGTTGTCCACAGCCTCTGCAGTGCGGGTTTGATCCTGGCCTGCTGGAGAGATACCCACATGGCTCAGCAGACCTCTCCTGACTTGCCCGCTGCTCCCCTTAGCAGTGTATTTCAGTCTTCCTGTTCTGTTTCACACTCTGTGTCTGGTGAATGCGCTCACCCTCCCGTACATCTGCCTGTACCCCGGTTCTTGTATAAATAAATAAATCTTAAAAAAATAATTTTATTGAAGTAACATTTTTGTGGATTAGTGTATTTATTACATACTTCCTCCTTAATGTTATTTTACTACGAGGTAACTTAGATAGATGCTATCATTTAATTTTTATACTATCTCTGGTGATTACCTCGGCTTTACAGAGTAGGTAACCAACGCACTGAGAGGGTAAGAAACTTCCTCAGGGTTGTGAAACTGGTAAATTTCCCAAGTCCTTAATCATGAGTCTACTTGAGTCTTCAGGAAAGGGTTTAACTATACCTCCTACCTGGTTTTGGAGAACAGAAGAACATCTGTTCTACTTTAGAAATAATTCCAGTGAGATGGTTGCATTTTTTCACATTGGTTTTCACAAGTTTCACAATGTGAAATAAACCCTCTTCTCTTTGGAAAATCACCTATCCTAAAGTTATTTATTCTCTGAAACTACCAAGAAGCAAAGTTACCTTGTTGTTATTATTTGTTTTAGTTTTGTTACTTGCTAATGAGAATAGTAAGGAGGTTTCTTTGCGTTTAGCCAATTCTTACTTATTTTAAGAATTTTTTGGTACTGTGAGGAGTTGATTTTAATTGATTTTGATATTGAAATTAAGAGGGTAGCTCTGTAGAGGCCTCCCTGGTGGCACAAGGGGTTAAGACTCGACACTCTGAAGCTGTCCACACCCATTCCAGCACCAGTTCGATCCCTGGGATCCCTGGGCAGGGAGGTGACCCACATGGCTCAGTGGACCTCTCCTGTTTCACCTGCTGCTTCCCTCAATGGTGTACTTCAGTCAATCTGCCTGTTCTGCTCCCCTTTCTGTCTCTGGCAAATCCTCTCACCCTCTCACACCTCTGTCCTACACCCCAGCTCTTGTATACATAAATATATGTCTTTAAAAAAAAAAGTGAAGCTCTATAATGAACTATAGTAAAATTTCAAGAAATTAAGCATATCACTTTTGTAAAATATTGTTTTTAACTTAATTGCTAATAGTTATATCATTATGTAATTTCTAAGTACTGCACTCCATATTCCTTTTTAAAATGTAAAAGAGTGCTTTGAGGTGGTGGAGCAGATATCACTATTTTATTGATGAGTTAATTCAGCATCACCTTTAATGGTTTTGGGAGTGGAGACATAGCTAATAATTAGTAATACTTCCAAAGCTCAAGTTCAAGTCTTCTGTTTTTCTACATTCTTTATTTTAAATGTCAGTAGGCATTCATTAATGGAGAGGTCTTCAAATGGAAAGGTATTACATTCAGAAGGATCTGAATCTGGAGTTAGAACTTGCAGCTCTTTGCAAACCCAGTTTTCTTGATGGGAGGCTTTTCCTGTTGTATGGGTCAGTCATGCATTCAAGCCCCCCATCTCTGAAACTCAGAAGATAATCCAGTGGGGCTCAGAAGTTTAAATTATTTTTTTTGTGTTATTCTGGGTTGCTTTTTAACTTTAAGGCATATTTTACTACCTTCTGTCTGTTATCTTTACAGTAATGCTTACATGTTATGAATAAGCATAAGGAATGAGAATTGTTACCACTTTAAACCTTGAACTCTTTAAAACTTACTGATAATGATGTTTTAAAAGATTAGGAAAGTAAATAAGACTGTGTACTAGTTATGTTAATAGAATTTAAAAAGAAAGTAAAGAGGACTGCTCTACATAATGCTTATGTGTTTCAATGTCAAATCAAGTAGAGTTCTCTGGAGTGGTTCTGCTTCTTTATGTATTAACAAAGGATGTTTTGAAGAAGAGAGGGAGAAATCTGCATTGTAGCAGAGAATAAATATATTCTTATTCCTGTACTTCTTTGTATGACCTTGAGGGGTGGGGTACTTAAGACCTGTAGTTTGGATGTGTAGTGAGAGCTAGTCCTTCAGCTTCAGGTTAAAAATGCATTTAGAAGTCCTGCTGTATTCTCATTCAGAGTCTGTGCTACATCTGCTAACTACAGGGAAGATGTGGCAGCTTCAGGATTTCCCTGTTTTTTTTTATTCCATTTCACTTCACTTCTTCCATTATGAAAAAAAGATGTTTTGTCCCATCAGCAGGCATAGGGAGGCTCACAATGATTTCTCCATTACTATTAGCCCTATGGTGGAAATATTAATAACATATTTCCTAAAATATAAAGGGAGAGGAGAAAAGTAAGCAGTGTGGAAAAAAAACTATTTAAAAAGTTAAAATCAACCTGATTGTATCTCTGTTCTGTGGTCTGTAGCCTGAGATCTCTGTGGGACTAGAATCCTCAGGGTGTAGCAATCCTCAAGCGCTTTTACCTAGCTGTGTAAAAAAATGAGATAGCAGGGGAAACATCCAAGCATCTACATGTACCTACATTACTCTTAAAAGTGCAGCCTGGCTGTGGACCCTGTTCAATTCTGTTAGGCACTGCTTTCCTATTCAGTAGTGGTTTTAATTTCTATACTGAAGGCTCAAGTGACTTCTGGGAAGGCATGCATTTGCACGCGTTTGAGAGGTTAACTAGAAGGGTCCACCTCTCACCTTGGGATGATGGCCACTATGGCTTTGTTAGAAGAGGAAATTATTATTAGGAGCTGAATGCATTACTCCCACCTGCTGTATCAGGAGTACACAACCTGTGTAACTTCATGAAAACTTTGCTTTCTAGCTACGGAGTGCTGCTGTGGGAGCTGCTCACGGGAGAAGTCCCCTATCGTGGCATTGATGGTCTTGCTGTGGCTTATGGAGTTGCAGTCAATAAACTCACACTGCCCATTCCATCTACCTGCCCTGAGCCATTTGCCAAGCTCATGAAAGGTATTTGCACACCTGTGTTTTTGTGTCAGTGGGGGGTGAGGGACTTGTTCATGAAAACATCTATCCTTTTTTAATCAAAAAGAATTTTTATGATTCTAATTTTCAAATACTTTTAAGTAATTATACTGATTGAAGAATTAGAAACCTTGTCTTTGATCTAAGATATTAGGTAAAGATTTGATGAACTAAGTAACTTAAAAATTACCCAATTTTATCAGTGACTCATTTATATACAAAATTCAACTGAATGGTACTAAAGCTTTCATCAAGTACACTTGTAGAGTTCAAAGACAATATTGAGTTGGCTCCAGACAGGCTATTTTAAATTCTACCTAATAATCAAAAGTGTTTTAACTGGCATGATTTTGATATGACCTATCTTTGAAACATTGTTAACTCATTTTGTTAAGCAGCAAGTTACTTTATTTCTTTGTGAGGGCAGGTCTCTGAATTCTTCTCTTTTTGGAGATTTTGTTTTCTTGGATTGAGTTGTTGAACTCTGTGTTAGTGTATTATCTGACCTGGGCAGTTTAGGTACCAGAAACACAGTATTCACTGCAAGGCATGGAAAACACCACATATACATAGTAATGTCTGTAACAAAGGCAGTGAAAACATTGTCTAATATTTAAGAGTAACTGTTATATATCTCTCTGACACAGAGACTGTATAAAATAAGATTTTCAAAGGATTCTTAAAATCTTCGGCAGACACTATCAATATTACCTGAACTATATTGAGAAGTACAACTAATGTGCTTCTTATTTATTTTAGAATGCTGGCAGCAAGACCCTCATATCCGTCCATCCTTCGCCTTGATTCTTGAACAATTGATGGCTATTGAAGGAGCTGTTATGACTGAAATGCCTCAAGAATCTTTTCATTCCATGCAAGATGACTGGAAGCTGGAAATTCAACAAATGTTTGATGAGCTGAGAACAAAGGAAAAGGTGAGAGATATATATTTGACTATATAAGCACATTTTTTAATATCATAGAAAGTCAGAGTCAAGAACCAGTGTGGGTATTGTTCTAAAATATTTTCAGTCACCAATATTTATTAATTCTTGCCAAAACAAGACTGAACCATTTTCAAAATGCATAATTGAATATAATTCCCTCTATTAAGGGAATTTTCAAATGTTAAAAAGAGTGGATAGCATGGTAAATGTGCAAAAACCAGCTTTAATTATTGTCAATATTTTATCATTTTGTTAATCTTTTTCCCTATATCATTTTTTTTAACTGGAGGATTTCATATCAAATCCTACACTCATGTATTTTGCCCTGAGATACTTCAATAAACATCTCTAATTGGTAAGATTTTTAAAAATAACTTTCTTTTATTATCTTTAAAAGTAATAGCAGGGGCTCCTTGGTAGCCTAGGGGTTGAGTCTCAGCGCTACCACTGCAATGGCCTGAATTCTAACCCACATGGTGCAGCAGACCCCTACTGTCTTGCCCACTGCTCCCCTCAGCTGTGTATTTCAGTAGATCTACCTGTTCTGCTCCCCACTCTGTCCCTGGTGAATCCTTTCAACCTACTGTACCTCTGGCTTGTACCCCAATTCTTCTACACCAAAAAAAGGTAATAGTAATTCCTTGATGTCATATAATACTTCATAACCAAATGTCACAATTTGTCTCAAAGAGTTCTTACAGGTTTTAGTTATATCCTTTAAAGACTTTTATACTAATGGCATCACCCCATTTCCTTTTATCTTCAAGACATTGCTTTGTAGGGAAATTGGAAAAATGTGTAATTTTTAAATTTTTAATTAGATGCATCAAGTTCTGGTTGGTTTTTATATTTTAAGAAAAAGACAAAAATAAACTTATATGTTAAACACACTGAAGCTGCATTTATATTGTCATGTTCAAAGTGAAACATGAGAAGTAAAACCTCCCCTATTTGGAAGCCAGACTGGTTGGGAAATGAACTAAAATTGTCTCTCTTGGCTGTTGTCAAATTACTGTTACCAGTCATTGGAGAACCCCAAATTCAGGGCATAGTTCTGTGACAGTAACTTACTTTTTAAAAACCTGTTTGTAGAACCAGAGCATTTTGAAGTATGGTTTATTCCAGTTATCTGAAGTACATAATTGTTCAGGATGCTAAATTTTTATCTTATACATGCATTAAATGTCAGGTTAAAGTGAAATATTGCAAGTAGTTGATAACCTTTATAAAACCATATTATCTCCCAGGAAGGAACTTTTATAACTCATATTTGTAATTTTAAAATGGTGGAATTCTTTTAAAGTAGGTGATTGTATTTTGCTATTTTAAAGAGAGTTCTTTTGCTTACTCCAATTTATGACACTGGAATATGCCTTATGGCATTGCTGAGAGCCACTCTCCTGTGTTAGAATCACCTTGTCCTGTGTAGTGTGACTTTCATATTATCTCTTGACTTGTACCTTGACCAAAACACAAAGGTCTAAAGCCAACCTAAGTGCAAAGGAAAGGGCAAAAGTGGGAATCAATATATATGCTCAGACATTTCTTGAGAGCTAATGTATGCCATACTGTTGTGATACTACCACCTCATATGCCCAAATTCTGTCCTTGAGTAACTTACTTCTGTGTGGGATTTAATTGGATCTGAGGGGGGAATTAATACAAGGTTTATCATGGGTATTCCCCCAAATACAAATTGTTTTCTAAAACAAAACAAAAACAATTGACAACTGTGTCTATGGGGAAATTGCTCTGAGCTTCAAAGTGATCATTTTATTTCAGCAAAAATACTGAATATCTACTGTATGCTGGGAAAAGGGTTAGAGAACTGAGATACAAATATGGATATGGATTCTGTAGCCTTGCATGGTCCTCTGAATGCCAGGCCAGTTGATAAGTTTTTAAAATGGGCTTAATATACTATCTATTATCAAGGACATTAGTGTAACATGTAAGTGTTGACTTAATATGCTGTTGACATTTTCAAGCCAAACATTGAAATCAGAATCTCATCCTTACTCCTCCTCTGCCTTCCTTCCCTCTGCTTCCTCTTTTGTGATGTGGGATTGCTGTCCTCTTAGGTTTTCTGTTTCAGAGGTCTTGGAAGATCATCAATGACCATTCCTTCCCTGATGCCTGTTGTTCTCACTTATCCCCTATGTTCCTGCAGTAGCATCCTTCCTGGCGGTTCTCCATTCATCTTGTTGCTTTAATTTATCCCCTCACTACTGCTGAGACCTTTCTAAACAGCAAATTTGAACAGCCTTACTTTTCCTTATTAACTTTCTTTGTCCTTATATATTTAGTTTCACTTTTCTCCCATCCATACTGAATTCCTCTCAGTTCCTCGAACGCCAAGCCTTTGACAGTGACCTTGTACAAATTCTCTGTGGAGAACACTGTCCTCTCCCTTGCCCTTATCCTTACTTTAAAATTGCTGGATTCTTCATTCTCAGTCCTTTCTAGGTCCCTCAGTCCTTTATTTTGCTGCACCAGATAAAACTGTGTCATGGTTTCTTGTACTTCACTTATCACAGGTGGCACCCAATAATACTTTATTGTTATTTGCTTCTTTAATACTTCTTGGTCTGTCTTTTCTGCAAGATAACAGCAGCATTGAATAAAGTACTCGGCATTAAACACATTAAATAAACATGTAAAGTTTCTTAATATGCTTCTGGTATATATTTTAATAGGTGAGATATATTGGCAATTTTTATCCACATTGTTATTACTAATTTAAATGAAAAATAGTCATATAAATCAGCTGTTTAACTTCTGGATAAATGTTCTTGAGAAACCCTTGCACCTGGGCACAAGGAAGATTGTTAACTGGGCATTGTTTGCTATAGTGAAAAACTGGAAGCACCCCCTGATACTCACTAATAGGGGACTAGATGCCTAATCCTATCCATATCCATACAGTGGAAAAATCTATATAGTTAAAATGAGTGATCTCTGTTTACATGTTTCAATGAGGATAAATTTCAAACATGATACTGGGTAGAAAAAGTGAGTTACAGAGGGTGCATTATATATCATTTATGTAAATTTGTAAAAAACACAAAGCAGTACTACTCATAGTATAAAAAGACTAAAAGCATAAACAAGGGAAGGATACATACCAACTTAAGAACCACAGACCAGAAGAAGAGAGAGGGGACAGGGTCAGAGTGTGATGCATTAGGAACTTAACAGGTCTGAACCAGACAGGGCAACCATTTAGCATCTATTAATTGTTGATTGTAAGTACTTGGGTACTTGCTATTCTCTTTCATTGTAGCAAATTTTCAATATCTCTTAACTTGGAATGATCATAAATAAGATTAGAGAGAAATATGTTTGCTGCTAATGTTTACAAGTCATGTTTACAAGTAGTAGACTTAAAGGTAATTTTTTGTCTCCCAAAGAGTTGTCAGTAATTTGAAAGTTTAAAAACACTGTAGCAGGCAAAAATAGCCTTAGCCCTCTCCCCCTCGCCCCCCAGCCCCCACAGAGCTAATGAACACATGGAACTCATGTAATAAGAAACAGTTATACTGTTTGACTCTGTTCAGATCATATCCATAGTTCTGTGCTTGATTGTGGTCACCAGGTTTTAAAGCACCTCCAAGGAAGATGGTCTGGAAGGCAGGAGAGGGACCAGGAAATCTGAGCAGACAGAGATCAAAACAGATGCAGAAGGGGGTGAGAAATGTAGGGGCTACCCTCGAAAAGTGGAAGAACTTGCAAGTAGACAGGTGAGGAACTGTATTTTATGTTGTTTCAGAGTTCAGAAGTAGGACCTCTTGGGTGAATGCTCAGGGATTAACATTTAGTCTTGAATTGACAGTTTTCTAAACTTTGGAGCTGTCTGGCAGTGCAGTAGACTGCTTCTTGAGCTGTTGGTCTTCAAGGAATTGAAGCCAACTGAAGAGGGTATCTATATGGGACTGTGAAAATGGATTATTCCCCCTCCACCTCTTTTACCATTAGATATTCAGTGGAATGCCAAAATCTGTAGTCATCTTGAGGAGCGGTTAAGACCAGACCAGACAGCCTGGTTAGAGTTGGGATTGTGCATTTGCTGATCGCAGAGTATTCTCTCTTTGCCTCATCACTATTAAACGTCACAGCCACGCTGTCTCATCTCGCTCAGGGATAGTGTGAAGCTTAAATGAGTAATGTGCAGAAAGTGCTCAGGGCAGTTCTTACAGTAAGTGCTAAATAAGTGTTAAGTGTTAGTCTTACAACAAAGGAAGTGGTGGCTTTGATTGAAGCCAGGGCAGGTCCTGGCAGCCACCACCATTCCAGAGTCAGCCATATGGGAAACCAGGCTCTGAGCAGTAATGCCTCAAAATGACTGACTGGATTACTTTTTAAATCCTGCAGTTCTTTGAAGGATTACTATCAGTAATATTGTGTGTTTCTTGGAAACTTTAATACATTTTGTCCACTTAAAAGTGATTGTTTTTCTTTGCATTACCCCAATTTTTTATCAGAAATTCTATAATTAGATGTTTATTAGCAAGAGTAAGATGATTTTGAGGAATGGGAGAGGATTTTAAGGAAACAAAACTTGAAGTCACAGAATTTAAAAACTGGAAGTAACATTAGTAATTATTTTAAAATGTGCATTTTACATTACTGGGAATTATGAAACTGTAGCATAGAGGCATATTGAATGAATTAGCTCTTATGTGGTTTTATAAAAACCAGAAAAGCATGTTTCAAGAATGTATGTCTGCCTTTTCTCCATTTTGAGATTTATGGTAGTTTCTTTGCTTCTCTTTTGATTGACTTTTTGAGCTATCCTGTAGTGGGCCTTTCCTCCTTTTTTGTATGATTTTTGTGCAGTGCTCCTTGAGATGAGGTATCTTGTGAGCCTTTGCTTTACTATTAGAGGATTTTTAATATATCTATATATTACTGAAAGGTTTGTAATTGCATCTTTTTTGATGGAGTGAAAAGCCAGTGTACGTGCTGTATCTTGCTTTCTTGTTCACTGATTGTTAAGGTAGGAGGCATCAAACTTGGAATTAATGGCCAGTAACTTGGCTGTGCTCTGTGTTATTCAGTAAACTGTAGCCTCCTTAGATACCAGTTCCTCCCTAAATTCCTGGCTTCTTATCTCTGTGTGTCTTTCTTTGTGCATGGGGTGCATGCACCTGTCTTTGAACCACTGTATGAAGGCATGTCACCATTAATGATTAACATCTCCGGCAGGAATCCAGGTTTGTCATTACTAGAAAGGCCTGTGCCAAACAATTTAACAAATACTACTGCTTAGTAGTCTCAGCAACCGAAAGAATTTTAATATTTTTCATAATTTGGAAGTATTCAAAGGGATCCTAATACTCCAGACTCCCTGCCCCCCTTTTCCTTTTGAATATTTTAAAATCCAGAAGGAAGTATCCCTTGGTTCCTTTCTTTTCTTTTTTTTCTCTCTTGTGAAATCTTAGGCAAGTGTTTTTTTTTGTTTTTTTTTTTCTTTTTTTCTTTTTTGATTCATAAACTCTTTGCAAGGGGCTTCACATTTTAGCTTGGAACCTAGAATTAAAAATCAAAAATTGTTTCTTTTTAAATTACTGTAGTTGTAACCAGCAAAAGCCTAATTGAATTTGTTACCCTTATCTCTTCCTCATACCATTTCATTGCTCAATAACTAATTGGGTTGATATCAGTGCCACTGAAAAGTAAAATCTTTTTTTTTTTAAAGATTTATTTATTTATTTATATAAACACTGGGTACAGTCAGAAGCGCGGGAGGGTGAGAGAATTCACCAGAGTCAGAGCGGGGAACAGAACAGGCAGAAGGACCGAAGTACACTGCTGAGGGGAGCAGCGGGCGGCAGGAGAGGTCTGCGCGCCATGTGGGACACTCACCCGGCGGCCGGGGATCAAACCGGCCCTGCAGAGGCTGCGGGCAGCTTCGCAACCCAGCGCTCAACCACTGCGCCACCAGGGAGGCCCTAAAAAGTAAAATCTTAACAAAAGAACAGATAGTAATGAGTTAGAAATTAGAAGTTGAATGGAAATAATTCTCTCTTTCCCAGAAAAACTACAGTAAAATCTCCAATTTGAACAGAGTAGCTGACTAGTTGAAGAAAGTCACCAGTGGTATAATGGAGGCCATGATTTTTTTTTTTTTGATATGTACATTTCCTTTTTTTTTCCTTTTCAAATAATAAATAAAAATTTATATCAGGCACAATATAATGAAGAAATACTAATCTGCTCTATAAGTAAGAATCAGTTGGTACATTTAACAAAAATTGAGTTCTTATTTGTCTTAAGTAAATCATTCTTCTACAATTTTGTTTATGAAGTTTGTTCTGAAAACATAAATTTATTTTTATTTATTTATTTTAAAGGTTTATTTATTTATTTTATACAAGAACCGGGTTACAGACCAGATGCATGGGAGGGTGAGAGGATTCAGCAGAGACAGAGTGGGGAACAGAACAGGCGGACTGATGAAATACACTGCTGAGGGGAGCAGTGGGCAAGACAGGAGAGGTCTCCCTCGCCATTTGGGACCCTCGCCCGCCAGCTGGGATCGAACCCGCGCTGCAGAGGCTGCGGACAGCTTCACAGTGCGGCGCTCAACCACCTGCGCCACCAGCGGAGGCCCTGAAAACATAAATTTAAAGAATGTTCCAGAGGTCAATGTCCATCTACTTAATAGATGTACCATAAATTCAGAATTAATTTGATCTGAGTAAATCGGTTATATTTGTTTATAGAGCTTCCCAGTCACTTCTTGATATTATCATGTTTGTTTATGGAAGGGTGGTCCTCTCCGTTTCTGATAACTGTGTTGATGGATAGCCACAGATTATTCTTTGAACTCATCTGTAAAATGTCCAGGGGATTAGTAGGCTTGAGTTAGCATTTCAGTCCCTTGGCTCAGCTCTCGTTTCTTCCTTGAGCCTCCACATTACAGTGTTTCTTCGTGCTTCAATATTCCTGAGGTGGGCCTATATGTAGTGTGACCTGTTTTATATCAAATATGGAATGTTTGTACAACACTCATAGCTGTCAAAGCGCCTAACTCAAAACTCCACCTGAAATGGAATCCATAATCTCTAACATAGACTTCAGTATTAGGATATTCTGAGGTTAAATGTGTCTGAGGTAGTGCAAGGGACAGTTTATAAGTGTCTTGATTTCTGTGCAAGTGCTTGAGTTAGTTGCCGAGTAATCTAGAAGAGAGGTAGCTCAGTGCTGAAAGGAATATTTATGTCTTTGATAAAGAATTCAAAGCTTTGGGCCTCCCTGGTGGCGCAGCGGTTGAGCGCTGGGTTGCGAAGCTGCCCGCAGCCTCTACAGCATGGGTTCGATCCCCGGCTGCTCCCCGGCCACAGGAGGAGGGTCCCACATGGTGTGCAGACCTCTCTTGCCACCCGCTGCTCCCCTCAGCAGTGTACTTCGGTCCTTCTGCCTGCTCTGCTCCCTGCTCTGCCTCTGGTGCATTCTCTCAAGCTCTCATGCTTCTGACTGTACCCAGTGCGTGTATAAATAAATAAATAAATGTTTAAAAAAAAAAAGAATTCAAAGCTTTACAGCAATGAAATAAGAATTGAGGTGTGATTTTAAAACTTTGTGGAATTTTCAGTTCTACTATTGAATACTTTTTTTCTAATAGGCATAAAAGTATTCTCCAATTTATAGATTTTTCTGTTTCTCGGAAGTTCAATAATTCTAAGAGTAAAAAACAACAGGAAGTTAAACTTTAATCAGTAAGTGTCCTGACAGCGGGAACTTTTTTTATATATAATTCATGATGATCTGTGCATAAAGTGATATTTTTCCTATGCTGATGAGATCCTGAAAAGTTCTTTGTATAATGAACCTATTTCCCCTTGGTTTATAATTTGATGTCTAATTTTCATTTCCGATGCACTTCAGCTCACTTCTAACACATTAGCTTGTTTTTTCCTGTGCTTTAATTGTCTAGGCATATTCTTAAATATTAGGAAGTCTCTGAGGGCAGAAATCTCAAATGCAGCCTTTTGTAGCTGCAACAAATATCCTTTAATCAGTCAAGCTTTTAACTTTGGGCTTTATTTTCAATCGGTCATTCATTTCATTGATACATATTAATGTTCATGTTATGTATCAGTGGTTATAAAGACTAGAGATGAAGGGAGAGAAATGTTAAAATTGGGTTTAAAAAATGTGTGATGCCTCTTTCAGGATCATAAAACTAAAAGACCAAAAGACAGCCTTGTGAAAACAACTTTGGTTTTTGTCTGCAGTAATGATGTGCTGGAAATGACCTCACACCTACTGTTTTGTCCACAAAGAGCAGTGTCCTGTGAGGACTTGAATAACAAGGTGGTTAAGAAGGAAATTTTGGCTCCTTGATTTTGTTGGTGTGACTCTGTTTCAGGAGCTGCGGTCCCGGGAAGAGGAGCTCACCCGAGCAGCCCTTCAGCAGAAGTCTCAGGAGGAACTGCTGAAACGGCGTGAGCAGCAGCTGGCAGAACGGGAGATTGATGTGCTGGAGCGGGAGCTAAACATTTTGATATTCCAGTTAAACCAGGAGAAGCCCAATGTAAAGAAAAGGAAGGGGAAGTTTAAGAGGAGTCGATTAAAACTCAAAGATGGACATCGAATCAGTTTACCTTCAGGTATGATTTTGTACTTGTGTTTCCTAAGATTTTTTTGGTATGTCATCCCTGCAATCAGCTTCTTTGTTTTATCAGAGCCAGGTAGAGATGCTGGAATAAGATTTTAAATTATTCAATGAATAAGTATCTTCAGTGGCTTGCCTCAGTTCATGATCATAGTTTAGTGCTAATGCATTTATACCTAAGCAATGGCTCAAGGAGTGCATTGCAATACATTGCACACTGTATTTCATGCTCAGCATACTTTCATATTTTGAATTCAAAGCAGAATTGCTTCGTAGCTGAATGTTCTGAACCAGGCTTACATGACATTGTGAAAATGGAGAACAACAAAACTATTGCTACTTTGTCGTTATGTTTATTGTTTCTACAGAGATCTATAATGTCTGGTAACAGCTCATTTAGGATACTGAGGTTGGTGTTAGCACCTTCAAGAATATACATCAAGTGCTTCAGTTACACATGTGCTTTCATCTTAGGGTTTAAAATCCTTGTGGTATAAAAATGAACCAGTAAATCTAAGCAAGCTTTTAAAACTATTTTTAAAATGTTCTGACAATAACAAAAGGATTATGTGTGTTAGGAGAAACTACATAGAATAGAAAACAGCAAACATATTAATTTGCGAAGTTAAGTTCTTTAATGTTATGTGTTCTGCTCGACTTAATCCCATGTAGTTTACGATTCTTTCTAATATGAGGGAAGAACGGTGACAACACAAGAGCTGGCTGCATTTTCATAGACTGTGCATTAGATAACTATCTGTATGCCCCTCTCCCTCTATCTATATGTTTCAAATATTAGAGAGCTCTTTTTGGATTATAATGTTTTCCTAAGATGTTTGTTGATGGCATGGAAATTGGATTTAAAGAATAACAATTTTACTTTATATAAAATATGCATCAATTGTCTTGTGAAAATACTGCAAAACACTCAGAAGCTTTTGCATTATTCCAAAAATGCCTGGCAACCTGCTACTTTTTAGGTTAATTACAGATGTCCTCAATTGATCAGAAAATTGCTGTATGTGGTAGTCATTAGGACAAAATGTACGTTATTGATTATTTGGTTTCATGAGGTGAGAATAAGCTCTGGGACCTATTATACATTTCACCTTTGACCTCCCCAGGTGAGGGGGGTATACATTTCCAGGTTCTCTGATGTCTGCTTTTAACTGGAGTATAACTTGGAGAACCACTGACTGGACTTTCTTATATGTCAGACATCACTTAAAGTAGACTATTTTATTTGTAGTGAGGCTTCTGCTTGCAAGCACAGACGAAAAAAACAATTCAGAGAGCACTCCATTTCAGTTTTCTTTCTTTTTTAAAAAGATTTATTTGTATTTATTTATGCAGACAAAAACTGGAGTGTGGGGCAGAGGTGCAGGGGGTGGGAGGATTCACCAAAGTGGGGAGCAGAACAGGCAGATCTACTGAAATACACTGTTGAGGAGAACAGAGGGTGAGACGGGAGAGGTCTGCTGTGCCATGTGGGTTAGTTCCCAGGCTAGGGATTGAACTCGGGCTGCACTGGCTGATGATAGCTTGATAGCACTGAGACTTCAACCCATTTCAATTTTCTTTACCTGTTCTTAGCTATATCAGCATTCTTCTCTCTGTATCATGAGTACGTTATGATTAATATGAACTAATTCCATTAGGAAAACTTTGGAGGGAGGGACTGATGGAAAATAAACAGGAGAGAAATCAAATCATTCCAGTGATTCTTTGATCTTCAGTAGTAGAGGTTTAAATAAAATCTCTCAGGAATCCTGAAGTTAAACTTTCAATCTTATTTATCTTCTCAAATGTTACTCAGCCAGTGCTTTGCATTTATTCAAAGCAGGTTGAATATGATTGTTTTTGATGGGCTTATATGGTTCCTGTATTGTGCTATTTGACTTGTCTGTTTCTGAGACTAGAGAGGACATTTTAGTTACACATTTATTTGTGTTGTGGCACTTAATAAAATGGTCCAGCTAAAATATACTGTTATAATCTTAATTCATCTTGCAGGAATGAAATCTGGCTTCTGTACTTTAGCATGGCAGTTACCTTTATACCCACCAGATGCTGCTGCTTGTTGTAACACTATTACCACTATAGGAATACCTCATTAGGACTCCCAAACTTTGAGTGTGTATGCACACGTACTCGATCACTTCTGTAATAGTCTAGCATAGGCACACATTCAAAGATTCAGAGTGGGAAAAAAAAAAAAAAGAAAGAAAGTGAGAAGCTGAAAAAAATTGAAATGAAATAAATAAATGGATGTAGAATTTCAGTTTTGCAAGGTGATTCTGGAGTTGGATGGTGGTAAAGTTTGCATGACAGTGAGAATGGACTTAATGTCATTGAATTGTACACTTAAAAAATGTTTAAGATAGGGCCTCCCTGGTGGTGCAAGGGTTTGGGCACCACTCTATGAAGCAACCCTCAGCCTCTGTAGCACGAGTTTGATCCCCAGCTGGCCAGAGAGAAACCCACATGGCGAAGCAGACCTCTCCTGTCTCGCCCACTGCTCCCCTCAGCACTGTATTTCAGTCAGTCTGCTTGTTCTGCCCCCCACTCTGTCTCTGGTCAATCCTGTCACCCCGCCATCTCTGGCCTGTACCCCAGCTCTTGTATGCATAAATAAATCTTTAAAAAAATGTTTAAGACAGTAAATTTCATGTTATATATGTCACACAAATATTTATGTATCTGTGACCACAATAAAAAAAAATGGAAAAAGAAAAACAAAGATTCAAAGTGAAGAATGATAGCTGTAAGGAGAATTATTTTTCTTCTTCAGGACTTTTTGCTTTTATCTGTACCATAAGTTCAAGGGAGTTAGTGGATTTTAGTAGTATTATCTGCTAGAAAATTCTTTGAATTACCAAATTTTCAAGCTGCTTAAGGGTACACTGTCAAGTAGAAGCAGTGATATATAATCAGCAGTGGTGATACTTTCAGTTTACCAAATTACTTGAACACTTTTTGTAGTAGCTTTCCCAATGTGTGACTAATTTGAAGAATTTCTCAGAAACATATTTGAGACTTCTACAAACTGACCTTTAATATTTGTGCTTACAGATCTTTCAAACACTTGTTATCAAATATGATTATTATGATTTTTTTCTTTCAGAATCATTGATGATAACCTTTAATCTTAGGACTTTATAGTATGGCAATTTCAGAATTATTGATGTTAACTTTTAATCCTATGGCTATTTATAGCCGTGGTGACTTATCAAAACTCTCGAAGTTATTCCTACAGGCAATCCTTCATAGATGGCTACCAAATACAGAAGATAAATGATTAGAAAATGACACACCAGAATCTCAGATAAGAGTTTTTAAGTTATACTTTGTGAATTGTTGAAATTTCTTGGAATTTGTAGAAAAAGAATGATCACCATAGACATTTTTATGTTGTGACCATTTTATATCATGCTGAATTATGTTTATTTCAAACCAAAGTTGCCTTTTTAGAATATATAAAACAAGGCAACAATGATTAAAAACCTTCAAAGTTGGTGTGGATCCAAAACAGCAACAGTGAAACATCAACCATCTGCTTCTTGTGTGTGAGTGTGAGAACAAATCACAGGGGAGAAAGGGCCAATACTTCATAAGGCACTGCCACCACTGTCATATAAAACAGAATATTTCCATGAGCCTGTATTAACTTCCATAATGGAACATGTAGTTGTTCCTTGTACTCCATGAGGGTTAGGAATGCCAATCTTCTGCATAGTCAAAAATGCCCTTATAACTCTTTTTTTTTTTTAAAGATTTTTTTTGAAAATTTATTTATTTATTTATACAAGCACTGGGTACAGTCAGAAGCATGGGAGGGTGAGAGAATTCACCAGAGCCAGAGCAGAGAGCAGAACAGGCAGAAGGACCGAAGTACACTGCTGAGGGGAGCAGCGGGTGGCAGGAGAGGTCTGCGCGCCATGTGGGACCCTCGCCCAGTGGCCAGGGATCGAAATGGTGCTGCAGAAGCTGTGGGCAGCTTCGCAACCCAGCGCTCAACCTCTGAGGCCCCTTATAACTCTTAACTCTCCCCAAAACTTAACTACTAATAGCCCTCTATTGACTGAAAGCCTTACTGATTGCATTAACAGTCAATGAACACATATTTTGTATGTTAAATGTATTATATATTGTATTGTCACAATAAAGTACACTAGAGAAAAGAAAATGTTAAGAAAATCATGAGAAAACACGTTGACACTATACTGAATATTGATACTCTAAATTTGTATCTGCTGTTTAAAAGAAAATCTGCGTATATATGAACCCTTGTGAAGTTCAAATCTTTATTGTTCAAGGGCCAATTAGCAATAAAAATACAAGTATGGGTTTTGCCCAAAAGTCTGGACAAATGATAATTTTCTATGGGCAGGTATCTTTGAGAATGCTTATTCTAGCTAATACAAAGAAAACGGAACATCAGCCATTTTTCTCAGCCAGATGAGAACAATTCAGTTCTCATTTTCCGAAATGTGCTGGGACAGAATCAACCTTCCTTTGCTTCACAGGGACAAAGATGCTTATAGTAAAGAGTATTTTCTTTATTTTTTAAAGAGAAAGAAAGCCTCCTTTAATGGAAATATTTAGACTTTTTTCAAAAGGTCAGAAACATTGTGAATCTTTGGTATTGTTAAAATCCAGCCTTGTACATTGGCTACTGATCCTTGACTTTGCAAGTGGTCCATGCTAAGTTACCTGACCTGTGCTTAGTATATGCTGTGATCTGGCTTTGTTTTGTTCCAAGGCTTGCAAGGACATGCCTGCCTTCTGCTCTGGGCTGGAGGATCCTTCTATAAAATGTCATATAGAATTTGATTTCATGGTTCAACCTTATGGGCTAGTTGAACATTTATAAGGCAGTTTAAGTTAAAATAAACTGTTTCATGTCTGAATAAGAATATTTCTTTACCACTCCTCCTACCTACAATCTAGCCAATCATCACTCCTGCTGAAATTTTCCTTGCATTGTTTTTTTTTTTTTTTCCTTTGCTTAAACTGCTTTGCTAGTCAAATATTTCATAAAATTTCTTATCTGGTATAGATGGAAAAAGCCTCCATCTGGAACTTTATTTCCATTTCCCTCCACCCAACTATCTAGTTCTCAGCAATTAGATTTCAGTGCCAGTGTGATTCTGTTTCAAAACTCTGTACAGTTTTCTCATTCAACAAGCTCTTAGAGGATCTACCATGTACCAAGTCCTAAGGGTTACAGTAAACCATGATCTCTGCCTTCATGTTACTTATAATCTTAAACAGAAAATACTGTGCAAAAGACTAATCTCCTTTTATGTGCAGGGCGCTGTTTCCATTTTGGAGTGGGGTCTAGCTGTGATGGAGACTACAGTGACCTGTGCCCTTAGGAGGGCTGCTGTTGTATTGGGGGAAGGGTGTGAACTTTAAGCTAATAATTGCACACTTTTTTTTTAAAGATTTATTTATTTATTTGTTTATTTATTTATTTATACAAGAATTGGGGTACAGGCCTGATGCACGGGAGGGTGAGAGGATTCACCAGAGACAGATTGGGGAACAGAACAGGCAGACTGATGAAATACACTGCTGAGGGGAGCAGCGGGTGTGACAGGAAAGGTGTCTTGTGGGACCCTCTGCTGTGCCATGTGGGATCCTCGCCTGTTAGCTGGGATCGAACCAGTGCTGCAGAGGCTGAGAACAGTTTCACAGTGTGGCCCTCCACCGCCTGCGCCACCAGGGGTGGCCCTGCACACTTTTTTACTTGCTACAGTTATTAACTACTATGAAGGAAAATTCATATGACAATGATTAGCAAAGAGATATCACCTAGTCTAAGGAGATCACTGAAGACTTCTTTAAAAAGTAATATTTAAATAGAGTCTTGAAGTAGTATCTTTTTTTTTAAGATTTATTTATTTATTTGTTGATTGATTGATTGATTTATACATACAAGCACTGCGTACAGTCACAAGTGTGGGAGGGTGAGAGAATTCACCAGAGCCAGAGTGGGGAGCAGAGCAGGCAGAAGGACTAAAGTACACTGCTGAGGGGAGCAGCGGGCAGCAGGAGAGGTCTGCACGCCATGTGGGACCCTCCTCTGGTGGCCGGGGACAGCCGGGGATCGAACCGGCACTGCAGTGGCTGCGGGCAGCTTCGCAACCCAGCGCTCAACCGCTGCGCAACCGGGGAGGCCCCTTGAAGTAGTATCTTAACAAATAAAGAGGATTAAGGGGGAAAAAAAGGAAGAGAGCAAAGCTTTATTTCCTTCCAGGAAATGGAAAAAGACCAGTGTGGTTTGACTTAAGGGGTCAACAAACTATGCCCCATACACCAGGTCCAGTCTTTTCCTGTTTTGTCCAGTGCATGAACTGGACTATACACTTTTTTTTTTTTAAAGATTTATTTTTATTTTTATTTATACAAGCACTGGGTACAGTCAGAAGCGCGGGAGGGTGAGAGAATTCACCAGAGCCAGAGCGGGGAGCAGAGCAGGCAGAAGGACCGAAGTACACTGCTGAGGGGAGCAGCGGGCGGCAGGAGAGGTCTGCGCGCCATGTGGGACCCTCCTCCGGTGGCCGGGGAGCAGCCAGGGATCGAACCGGCGCTGCAGAGGCTGCGGGCAGCTTCGCACCCCAGCGCTCAACCGCTGCGCCACCGGGGAGGCCCTGGACTATACACTTTTAAGTACACAGAGAAAGAGGAATATTTCATGACATGTGAACAATATGTGAAATTTATAAATAGCATTGTCCATAAACACAGTTGTATTGGAACTCAGTCACCTATGTTGTGTGTGACAACCTTCACACATCATCATCATCAATTTGAGTGGTTGTAACAGAGACCAAATGGCTCACAAAGCCTACAGTATTTACTGTGTGACACTTCACAGAAGGTTTTCTGCCTTCTGCTTTATACCACAGCAAATGATGGGAGAAAGGGGAGAGGTGAGGTTGGAGCAGCAAGAAGAATTCAGATTTGTATTCCATGGGCTTATAGAGTAGGTTATGATTTTGACCTGTAACTTGAGAATTATAAGAATCCTTTGAAAGATTTAAAAAATGCACATGGCTGCTTTTGGGTAGACCAGAGTGCCCACATCTAGATGCAAAAATGTAGAATGAAGAATTGTGGGAGCATCAATATGAAATGATGGTGGTGGTGAGAGAACAAGAGTTGCTAATGTATGTTGAGCACTTTTTAGATCCTGAGCCCCACACTAAATGTTCTCTGTACTTCTTTGTACTTGATTTTTTACAACCATCCTACGAAGTAAGAATAATGATTTCCTCTCTCCACCATTTTTGGGTAAGAGATGTTGGTTAACAGATAAGGTTAAGTTGCCTTCCCAGAATTGGTTAGTATGTGGTTAATTAGCCTTCAGATCCAAGTTTGTTAACTCCAGATCCTAGAAAATAAGCTTCTCAAGTATAAATATAAGGGTGATATATACTACAAAATTTTTAAGATATTTTATGTTTGACTGGATGTGGATGGTCAGGGAGAAAGCAATAGCAAAAAAACTTTATAGATTTCTAGTATGAATAATTGGATAGGTAACTTACTTAGCAAATTCCAACTCTTCCTCATTTCAAATGCCAGGTGGTTCTTTAAGGTTCTTTAGAGTATAATTTTCAAAAATTAACTCTCTTGCAAAATGAAATAAACATGTATCAAAGATTTTATTCAATTTTTTGATTAATGAGGGAGCCCATTAAAGTCAGTTCAAATGAAAATTTGAGGAGGTATAAGTATTTAAGAGCAAATTAATAAAGGAATGTTAGGCTTAGATTACTAGGTTAAATATAAACTTGATTAATTACCAGTATGGCAATAAACTATAACCTTTTGGACTGTCTTTTTGGCCAGACAGAAATTATTTGTGTCATCCCCAGACAAAATCTACAGGTTAACCTCTGACCCTGCCAAGTTGTAAATATAGCCCAGTCAATAGAAAACCAAAGGTTAAGAACTCAGCACTACCCTGCAAGAACACCCAGTAATTTGTTTCCTGTGTGTACATTCTTGGCAATCTTCCTGTTTACACAGTTGTCCCAAACCCTTTCCTCATCCTTCTGGTAATGTGAATTGTTTGTCCATACATTCCCTTAGTTCTCTGTCGTGGCGACCACTGCGTTACAGCTAGGTAATTGTAAGTATCATTTGTGGAGTGCCTTGACCACAAAATGCTTTCAGCTGTAGGGCAAAGGAAATTTTTCCTTGACCTTCTTAGGGTCCCTGAGTTTGTTTGAAAATTAAGCTGACAAAGACAGGTCAACAAGGAAAAAGCATAAAAATGTGCTTAATGTAAGTTTTACATGGTACAGGAACCTTTGTAAGGAAACGAAGACCCCAAAAAACAGACCTGAGTATTTTTATGTGAGGTTTACGTGAGTGGAAATTGCATAGAAATGTGATAGGTTAAATAGCATGAGGGGAGGGCATCCCATCCTCACCGACACTTTCTGTTTTAATCACCATAGCAAGGCCTGTGAGACATTTGTTGTGCCCACTTAGCAGTTGAGAAGACAGTCTCCCAGAGCTGGGTTCCTTCTGGTTTGAGGTCTATTGTTTGTTAGTGACAGAACCAGTTAACGTTAACCATTTAATGTCTGGGCTTTCCTGTGTCTGTTCTGTTTTTAACTATGTCAGACTGAATGAAAGGAACCCTTTCTTCCCAAAAGATTGTATGTTCTAGATGTTCTCAGTAATATTTCATTTTCTGCGGGTGTGTGTATCTCACAATGCCTAACATATCATAGAATCTCAATCGTTGAATCCTGATGTAGATGGGAAATTAAGAAATAGACTCTGATAGCTACTTCATTTTCAGTGTCTGGCAGTTTTACTTTAATTGCTAAATGCTAAAGAAGTGGCGGTGAAGATAACCTAAAATCATGAAATCTCTGCAAAACTGGGAGACTGACAGAAGTGGAAGGGGCACCCAGTGGGCTAGGATGAAATGTTATTGGGGCTTTGGGGGTGGGCATGGTATATAATAGCATTCATTTGTAGAGATGTGAACCTGTACTCTTAAAACTGTATAGACAGTGTTGTAAACCAATGCTACCTGCATCAACATATTCTAAAAAATTATGAAATCTCATTTCTTGCTTTTTTCCATATCCTGCAGATTTCCAGCACAAGATAACCGTGCAGGCCTCTCCCAACTTGGATAAAAGGAGGAGTCTGAACAGCAGCAGTTCCAGCCCACCCAGTAGCCCCACAGTGATTCCCCGACTCCGAGCTATACAATGTAAGCTTTATTCCCGGCACAAGGACCTCTGTGCCAATTTCTGTCATTAATTGACATGGATTAAACTTAGGCAGACATGTTTTTTCTAGCTGGTTATAGCTAACTAAGCATGTCACATATAGTAGGTGTCATAACTATTTGGAAAACAAAATATGGTCTTATGATTCTTAGTCTAATATTTTTATCTGTACAACAAATGATTTTGGTCTGTGCAAGTGGTGATGTGATCAGGCCACAGAGTAGAAAGTATAATAATTAATATATCTCAAGACATTTTGCTAAACACTTAAATGTAAAATTGATAACACTTAAATGTAAAATTGATGTCATTCTATCAGTAGCATATTTATGAATATTTTGAAAAAAATGAAATCAAGTATTCAAGGTTTCTTCCACTTCTTTTCTTGTTTTATAGAGAAAAAAAGTCCTTTGCTTTTTGAGATTTTACTTTAGGTCTGAGCCAATATAATACTCCAGAATAACCAATCTGAAAGCATTTTTTCCACCATTTTCAGATTGGTGGAAAAAATACATAGAGATAGTTTGCCTGGCACCTTTGTACTATGAGAATTTCGGTTAGTGGAATGAAATAAAACTATTGATAATTTTTGAAGATGACTCCAAATAAAGCTCAAAAGTAGACTATGCAAAAGAAGGGGTTAAATGTGTATATATGTACGTAATCTGTAAATCAGTCTACGTTACCATATTAATAATTTACGTCCTCTCCTTTTACCACCAAACTTAATTCTCTTCCTGCCATGATTATTTGGAAAAAAAGAATTACAAAATAATGTTTAGCCAGGTTTTCTGCCATCAATTTATTTTTTTTCTTTTAGCAATGAAAGTGTTTGTACCAGCAGAAATTTTTTCTTAAACCCTTTTTTATATTTGAAGGAAAATCACTTCAATAAATGTGTAATAATCTAATGTAGACTCTTAGACCTTAAGTAAAGCACTTCATTTTATTTTTATAGCTGATTGGTCTTTGTGAAAGCATTTTTTATAAAGCTGTACTTTATGCTTTGCTTTTCCTACACAAAGTAAGGACTTAATTAAAGGAATATAATGAGTGTAAAAGACTTGTCTCCCAGCTCTGCTGAAGGAACAAAGAATCGAGAACTCAGCTGTTTCTCTGCACTCTTCCCTGTTGTCTTCATATTCTTTTTTCTTGTATTTAAAGACAATTTTTTTCAAGACTTAAATTTTTCAGAGCAGTTTTAGATTGACAGCAAAACTGAGAGGAAGGCACAGAGATTGCGCAGGCACAAACCATCTCCACCACTGCTTCCATCATCCTGTATCAGAGGTTCATTTCAAATTGATGAACCTACATAAACAACATCACCGCCCAAAGTCCATAGTTTACATTGGGGTTCACTCTTGGTGTTGTCCATTCTGAGTTTGGACAAATGTGTAGTGTCATGTATTCACCATCATAGTATCATACAGGAGAGTTTAGTTCACTTAAACATTCCCTTTGTGCCATGTGTGCCTCCTCATACTGCCCCCCCATCCCTACTCCTAGCAACCACTGATCTTTTTTTGTCTTCATAGTTTTGCCTTTTCCAGAATATCATGTAGTGAAAATTATGTAGCATATGACTTTTCCAGATTGGCTTCTTTCACTTAATGACATGCATTTAAGGTGCCTCCAAGTCTTTCCATGACTTGATAACTCATTGCCTTTAAACCTTGAATAATAGGCCATTGTCTAGAGGAACCATTGTTTGTTTATCCATTCACTGTTGAAGGACAGCTTTGTTGCTTCCAAATTTTAGTTATAAATAAACTTGTACACATTCATGTGTAGGTGTTTGTGTGCACATAAGTTTTTGACTCCTTTGAATAAATACCAAAGAGTGCAATTGCTGGATCATTTGTAAGATTATGTTTCATTTTGTGAGACACCACCACCCTGTCTTCTAAAATGGCTGTGCCATTTGCATTCCCACAGGCAGCAGGGGAGGGTCCCTGTGTACATGCTGGCCTCACTGAATGGGGAAGTCGTATCTGGATGAGCTAGGCTCAAGATTGGTGCTAGTTAAGCTGAATACTTTTGGGATTACAAATAAATTCTGATCATGTGGCTCTCTGGCTCTAGTGAATTCTCTCACCCTCCCTTGCTTCTGACTGTACCCAGTGCATGTATAAACAAACAAACAAACAAACAAACAAACAAATAATAATACATGCCTCTTAAAAAAAAATCTAAAAAAAAAAATGAAGCAAACTTGGGGAGCTTCCCCACTTCCCCCAAACAGCAGGTGCCTCGAAATTCTTTCTCTGAGGTAGCCCATGAAAGCATTGTAATCCAGATACTCCAAACAGAACCAGCTTTATGTATAGGAGCTGCTGCTTCACCTTCTTTAACCTGAATCTTGGTCACTATCTTTTCTGACCCTAACTGCCCCCAACAGCTTTATCGTGTCTTGGTTTCTGGGTCTCCTCTGGTCACTAGCTCGTTTTCACTGTTCAGTGTAGTGTGACAGTGAAGGGCGTGGACTTGGGAATCACGTTGTCCAGGATTGAATTGCAGCTCTGGCCCTACTATACTGTGACTTTGAACAAGTGCCTGAACCTCATCATGCCTCAGATTCCATTTCTTTAAGCTGGGAATGAGACTAGTTTCAAAGGCCCAAATGTATATAAAACACTTGGAACAATGTCTGCACATGGTAAGCAGTTTATATGTGTCAGCAGTTGTCATGGTCTTCACTTTTACTATTGTTACTCTGAAGCTGTTTGTGGCCTGAAGGTCTCTCACTATTGTCTGCCATTTATAGTATTGATATTTATTCCTTTAAAGATATTGCCTCTCTCAGATGGATTGAGGTATATTTACATGCACACCTGATTCAGATGAATGGACTTCTTTTTCGGATGCGTTGTAGATATTATCTAGCATACTTTCCCTGAACAAAGATGAGAAAGTGTGAGTTAACTTAAATGAGAAAAATTCTTAGGAAAGCATGGAAAGAAAGAAAAAGCTGTGAAATTAAAGGGAAGGATAATTACAATTTGAGCAAGATGTGGCTCATTTAGGTAAAGTTGAATTAAAAGTAATTACCCCAAAGATTGTTCAAAGAATACTAAAGTAAAGGACTTTAGATGTATAAGATTGACTTTGGATAAAAACATAGTTATTTCACCCTGGTACAAAGAATCACTGTCTGCTAAAGAGAACATAGTCTAATATATTTGAACAAAATACTCTCTTATTCTAACTTCCTCTGGCTTGCTCTAATGATTGGCATTGTTGCATGATATCATATTTAGGGCTCCCTTTTCTTTGAGACTAGGAAATGGTAGAATTCACTAATCCTCTGAGAATTTCAGGTTTCAGGGTGTGTCTTAGGGTTGATGTCTTCAAGTGAGTACAAACACACACCTTTTTCCTATTACTGAATAGAATCAAATGATAGAAAAGGCAATTACAGAGACTCCTGTTATTATAGGGACTTGCTGTCATTGTATGTCCTTGGCATGTTTCCCAATAAAAAGTATCATAATGAAGAGGGAAGTTAGAAGCACTTGTTTTTCCAAGGAGATGGTTGATAGTCCTCCCCCATTCCACCCTACTTACTGATGTCCATAGCAAGGAAAAAAAAACCAGAAATCTCTGGTAACTAGAGTGGTGATAACAGGTTGATAATGAGTAAAGAGAGGGAGAAGTATAGTAAAGTATGACCCCCACCAAGGCACAGACCTTTGTAACCCAGCCCCAGCGCCATTGTAATAACAGTTCACATCCACCAAACACCCACTTCCAAGTTGTATTTATGTGCTAACCCATTTCATTCTCAAAGCAGCCTTCTCAAGTAGATACTGTTATGGTCCCTCAAAAAGGCAAAGAGAGGTTATCAATCTTGACCTAACTCAGTAGCTATGAATCAGTGGTGAAGCATGTGGATTCTTCACCATGTCCGTTCCAGCTTCTTCGTTCAGTTAAAGGTATTGGGGGACATGGGAAACAGTATGGAGGGTCCTCACAAAATTAAAATTAGAAATAGAACTGCTGTATGATCCAGCTGTTCCACTTCTGAGAATATAGACAAGCAAATAGCCAAGCACTAACATGGAAAGATACCTGTACTACTATATTCATTGTAGCATTATTTGTAATACCCAAGATACGGAAACAATCCAAGTGTCCACTGATCAATGAAGGGATAAAGAAGTTGTGGTCTGATACACACACACATTGGAATATTATTTGGCCACAAAAAAGAGGAAACCCTGTCATTTGCAACAACATGGAAGGACTTAAGTGAAGTAAACCAAGCAAAAGTAATCTGTGATCTCACTACTATGTGGAACCTGATTTAAAAACAATCAAAGAAATGCATAGAAAAAGAGATCAGGTTTGTGGTTACTAGAGCCAGGGGAAGGTGAATTGAAGGAAGGTGGTTAAAAGGTAGAAACTTGTGGTAATACCGATGGTCTCACTTGTAGCAGGAATGTAGAGGATCCAAATAAGGGATCAGGAAAAAAAAGCTAATTATAATAAAGTAAAAATCAAAATCAAGAGGCAACTATAAACCAGGTGGGGAGAAGGGAGTAGGATCAAAACAAGGGTGGCAGGAATTTTACGGGGACTATAACCAAGATGAAAATGCATACACTGTACAAAAATGAAAAATGATGTAAAAAATATATAAAATAATTAAAAATAAATAAAAAAAGAAACTTCCAGTTATAAGGTCAATATGTAATGTCCAACATGCTGTCTTAACACTGCTGGATGATATATATGTAAGTTGTTGAGGGTAAATCCTGAGATTTCTTATCATAAGAAAAAAGAATTTCTTTTTCTGATTTTTCTTTTTATTGTGGATATGAGGTAATGGATGCTAACTGATCTTATTGTAATAATCATTTCATAATATATGGAAATCAAACCATTATGCTTTACATTTTAAACCTATACAGTGGTATATGGCAATTAATAAAACTGGAAACAAAAACTTACTATAAAATACAACTTGATAAGAATATGGATAAAGTGTATTAAGATGTATTAAAAGCCACAGTGTTGGATTAAATATTGAAACAGATTACCTTGAAAAAAATTAGGGTGCTGTTTAAGTTAAATACTCAATTTCACTCTTTTTTTGCCCCAAATAAAACAGGTAAATAAATAAGCAGATCTTTGCTGTGAATTTCCTCAAATTTTTATCTCCTCTTTTAATTTAGTACACTTTTCTTGTTATTTTCATGACTAAGGAAAGAAGTTTGCCATGCATAGAATGAAAAAAAACATTTTTCACTACATGTCTTATGGCGTTTCACAACAGACTTGATTCATTTAACTTAAATATTTTTCCACTGGTTGATTAGTATTGTTCTTTGTTTAGTGACTTCAGATGAAAGCAATAAAACTTGGGGAAGGAACATGGTCTGTCGACAAGAAGAATTTGAAGATGTGAAAAGGAATTTCAAGAAAAAAGGTTGTACCTGGGGACCAAATTCAATTCAAATGAAAGAGAGAGCTGACTGCAAAGAAAGGTGCGTGTTTGGCGCCCATTGGGATTCTAGTGTGCTCTGTGGCAGGGTGCAGCGGTGCCTGTATAAACATGGCATGGCCAGTCTTTCAAAAAGCAGTTAGAGGGTCCTCCTTGGTGATGCAGAGGTTTAAGACAGCACTATCAAGCTTCACCAGTGTAAGGGCAGGAATGGACACAGAGCAGGTTTTCTGATCCCATGCAGACTGGGTAAAGGAGGAGTCCTTAGTGGGTTTTTGCAGGTCTTTTATTGGGATTCACCAGGCATATGACAGGCAGGGGTGCTGGGGGCCGGGAGGCTGGCATTCCTCCCAGCCCCCAGCAAATCCTCACTCTATCTGGGCTCTCTGGCGTTCTCTGCTTCTTTCTATGGCTCTGCTTCTCTCTCAGCTTCTTTCGGCTTCTACTGGTGTCCCCGTGACGCCGCCCTTAAAAGCACAGTCTTAGCGCAGGTGCACCCACTTCAGGTGCCCGCCATCAGGCATGCATTCAGGATCACGGGGTTCCCTCATCTATCCTGATGGCGGGAGGGCAGAAAAGCCTGATACCTTTTACCTTACCCTATAGTCCACCCCCTCAGTGTTTTCTGCCATATAATCCACACATACACAACTTTGTTTCTTAGCAAACACAAACAATGCAGCCATGGCCCACAAAAGCAAATACGTCACAATATAACAAAATATAACAGAACACAAATAAGTCCAGGCAGGGCCCCAACCTAGTGCAAAAGACAATTATTGGTACCAGCAGATGAGCCACCACATCTGCTGCCGAAGGCACTGCTCATATGAGGGAGGGGAACCATTCACGGCATCTACTATAACACACCAGGAGCCGTCGGGCTTCCTGGCCTTCTCTGGCTGTAGTCTCAGCTATAAGCCACACACAGCACCACCCCCAGGATGCACGAGCTCCAGGATTGGCGATTCTATTCTGTTGGGGGTCATTGCCAACCCTCAGGGTTTCTGTCAGCAGTCGCTCCAACACTCGGCCTTCATAGCCACCCATGCGACTAGCAGACCCCTGCACTCAAGCCAACCCACTGCACAAGCACATGGGTTGGGGATCCAAACTCTACATGCGGCTTGGGCTCCACTCCAAGCCACGTTCCCCACCCGTCCCTCAAGGACGGGTTCCTCAGCTCCTCACCCTCACTCAAGAATGAGCAGGGCATCACCCACAGGTGATTTTACGAGACTCACAGGTCTTCAGCATACTCAGGCTGCTTAACAGCCACTCAGGGCTTCTCAACTTAGCATCAGCACCAGCTTTTGCCTTCTCAGTTGGTTTTTCTCCTCCGCCTGGCTGCTGGGCATGCACAGGCTGCTTTTGGCCATCAAGGCCCACTGGCCACCCCCAGACTACCATCTCCTGGGGTTTACAAACAAAACTGTTCCACCCCCAGGGTCCCAAAACATACCAACCTGCAAGGTCCTCCGCCTTCTGGCGGGATTGTCAGTCCAAGTTCATCAGTCCATGTCCATCAGTCGAAGTCCATTGGCCTCTCCCTGCATCAGCACTGGCGAGCTCTGAATCGTGGTCCTCTCCTCCCCGATGATTCTGCTGCCTCAGGGGTCGTTGGCTGGTCCTTCCAGGTGTCATTGGCTGGTTCTTTTAGGCGTCTCCTTCGGCGAGGTCTTATCCCATAGATCCTGGACATTGTCCATCTCCTGACAATGCCTCCGGCGTCGTCACAGGCAGTCTTTTACTCCTTAGTCCCTCCAGGTCTTCGGAGGGCTCCATACCCGTCTGCATGGATCATCTTGCCGACTTATGCCAATTGTAGGGGTCAAGACTGACCACTGAGCACAACCAGCCACTGCAGCACAAGTTCGATCCTGCTGGCCAGGGAGCAACACATATAGTGCAGCAGACCTTTCCTGTTTCACCCGCTGCTCCTCTCAGCAGTGTATTTCAGTAGATCTCCCTGTTCTGCTCCCCACTCTCTGGTGAATCTTCTCACCCTGCCCCTTCCCCCGTACCTCTGGCTTATACCCCAGTTCTTGTATGCATAAATAAATAAATATTTTTTAAAAGCAAAATAATACAGAGCTATCTGAATATTAATTTAACTTGTGAGTTTATCATACTAAGTTAATTATTAGTCAAGTGGTTTTAAAAAATTATCTGATTTTGCACAAACAAACAAATAAATAAATAAAACATGCCTCTATTTAAAAAAAAAAAAAATTATCTGATTTTCTGTTTCATGTTAAGGTTTTATTTGTACTTGTTGACTTCTCAGAACACAAGTACAGATGTGTTCTGTCTTACTGCCTTGGGAATGTTGGTGTTGTGCACCCACCAAAACTTAGTTTGTGTGTTGTATGTTTTTATTTTATCAAAATAAACATCTTTCTCTTGTAGAATAAGACCTCTCTCAGATGGCAACAGTCCTTGGTCAACTCTCTTCATAAAAAATCAGAAAGCCATGCCATTGGCTTCATTATTTGTGGACCAACCAGGTAAATGTGCTTCAGGAAATAGAATTTGTTTGAATTAGACTTAGCACCTGAGTGTTTCACAAGCTTTGTGTAAGTAGTTTCACATGGTTATTCAAATAGCATAGGGAAGGTTAGCAGATAACACAGCATTGCTTATACATTTAGTTAAGTTCTAAAGTTATTATCTGTCCTAAAAGCTGTATGGTAGAAAGCCACTAGTTACTTTATTGATTGGAAATTTGTAACTACTGTTGTTTACCAAAAAATTTAGTGTCAAAAATCATTATATAGAATTTATTTAACATAAGAAATAGTAAGTTGAAAATATAGACACCCTGAAATTCTGCTGATATTAAGGGGAGTTCTCCTGCTATACCCCCATTTCTTGAGATGATGAAATCATGCCAGTAAGTTAGCTGTGAAAAACTACTCAGACAGTATAATATTGGGAATCACTGTTTAAGTGATCCTGTTTAGGTATTCATAGAAGGTGAAAAGGATATGGAAATTCTTGAAAAACTTCAAATATTGTTATCACCAGAGAAAATGGGTCTTTATAGTATTTGACAATTTAAGAAAATGCTTTGATACTGTGGCCAAATTTAGCAAAATGTGGTATAAAGTTTTTGAATTTATTTTCAGTGCAATCTGATAATAAATTTTATAGGCACCTTACCACTCACTACCCATATTTAATTTTCTTCTGTATCATGAGAATGTGGTTTCCGTAGAAATACACTTGAATTTACACAGGACAGGTGCTTTGTAGTTCTTGCATAAGTGCTTTGTGTGGTTAGATTCACTCTCATGCTCTGACTCTTGCTTGTAAAGGCAAAAGATTCTCTTATATACTGTGATCTATTATCATAGTTTGGGGACTAATGAAGAACAATTAGAAGTAATAAGGCTGCTGTCCTGATAGTATATTTTTCATTATTTATCACTGTTCAGGGTTATTCAAAGAAGTCTTCCTGCCTTTTCTCCCCTTAATTCTTTTATCCTTTCTTCTATTCTTTTATTCTTTCTAATTCTTTTATTCTTTCTTTAAATATTTGATCTTATTAATAACTCCTTCAAAAGACAGTGGAAATAAAAGGAAATATTTGGCTGACTCTATGTCCATTAAGTTACCACTAAATTCACCATTAACCAAAGGGTTAATGGGCAACAGGTGTCATCTGTCTGTGCTGGGCTACTGGTTTCCCTCCTTGTACCCCCTCGTAATGTCCACTGTGACCTGATTCCTCTAAGGCATTTATGGCCCAACTCAAAAATTCCTGAAAGCTTTCCCCTAAGCCAGAGTAGTATCCCACCACATCCCTCTATCACATTTTTGTTAATTTTTAACTCTTATTTGAAATGCTCATTTGTCTACCTGGACACCCATTTGTAGTGTATGTATTCTGTCACCCCCAAACTGGAATGTCAGCCCCGTGAAGGCAAGGATTTCATCTGCTTTGCCCAGCGCTCTGCTCCAATGCCTGGAATATGTCAAATATTCAATATGTATTGAATGAGTGAATCCTAAAAGGACTGTTTGCTATTATGTTAATAATAATTATATTTACGTTTGCTTGGGGCTACACATGCATGTCATTGCTCAGGAAGAGCACTGGGAAAGACTGTGGCTGGTCAGTGTGAGTCTGTGGTGACTGCAGGGAGAAGATGTGTGTTGTGCTGCTCAGTGAGAGTGCATATACCTCATGTTAGGAACAGCTCACATTAGGAATTAGCAGACTGAAATCTGTAGATTTTTTTTAAATGATGGATTGGTAATGATTGCTACTTTGATACTTGTTATGTAGACTGTGCTTACTTGATGCAGGCATTACTCAGGGAAGCCCCCCAGAAGATAAAATAGAAAAAACATATGGTCAGAAGCTTGCTGATAGCAGACGTGCACACAGCCGACTGATCTTAAAGGAGTAAAAGAAACAGAGAGGCTTCCGAGGCCTCAGAGGAAGTCAGGCTTGTACATGGGGAAGTAGGCATTAGTGAGCTGGGCAGGGCAAGGTGGTTTTCTGAGAGAGCCTTCTGAGGGACAGGTGAGCTGGGGTATTCAGTGTTAGAGTGGAAACAGGAAGAGGCATGAGAAGAGGGGCGTATGCCGAGCACTGGCTTGTTTGGAGAAGAGCTGGCATATCTAGATTATAGAGTGTGTTGGAGATGTAGTGGGACGGCAGAATCACCCACGACTCCATTGCCTGTTGCCTAGAACACCATGTGGAGGAGTTTGTTGTTTCCGTCATTCACTGGCAAGCTCCTCAGTGCTCCCACTACAGCTTCCTCTTCAGTTCCTAAGTGTGTAGCTTTTTGGGACTCTAACCTTTTTTGGAGAATCTTCCTCCATGACAGGGGCTCTCAAACTTTGGTAAGGGCCTGCTGAGACAAACTGAGGACTCCACCCCTAGAATTTCTAGTTCCGTAGTCTGAGTGGGCCAAGAATCCTCGATTCTAGTTTCCAGATATGCAGGTGCTGCTGGTGCAGGCTGCACACTGAGAAGCTGCTGGTCTAGGCCTGACAGTCCATTTACCTGGTGAGTCCTTGAGGTGGCCTGGCCCTTCATCCAGGAGAGGAGTAGTGCACATCTGGCCTGACATATGCCTAGAGCCTGTATATGTGCATGTGCATGTTTGTATCTTCATGACTTTATTTCTATAGTAATTTCTGTCTTCCTTGCCAGTGAAGAGCCGATTTCTCCATGATAGGGAATAGCCATAATACACTTGCTCGTTTCTGTGCAGGGAACCTTGGGTAGCTAGCAGCCTCCTCACTCTCCTTCCTTGGCTCCTCCCAGACGAACCATTTGTTGAGCTGTAAAGAAGGCAGTATATTTCATTTGGATTATGTATTTACTAGGTTTCAGCGGTTGTTTTACAGTAGGATGTAACTGATTCTGAAATGTTAGTACCATGTGTCTGTTTCAACCTTTATTTAGGTGCTTGTGAAGAGCCAAAACTTGCCCCTGATGGATTAGAACACAGAAAACCAAAGCAAATAAAATTTCCGGGTCAAGCCTACGTTGATCTACCTCTTTGGAAAGATGGCCAGAGAGAGAATCTTGGGGAACCTGAAAGCTGGGAGGAGGGGACCCCTGTGAGTCCTGCTGCTGGCACTCCTCAGGTGACCCCTACAAATAGTCTGAGTAGAACCCCCCAGAGAAAAAAAATGGAGTCTGCTTTGTACGGTTGCACCATGCTGCTGGCGTCAGTGGCGTTGGGCCTGGATATCAGAGAACTGAGCAGAGCACAGGCCCCTGAGGAACTGTTGCCCCGGGAAGAAAAGAAGAAACGTGAGGGGATCTTCCAGAGGGCTCCCAAGTCCCGTAGCAGCACCACTGCCCCTAGGAGGGCATCTGCTAGTGAAGGGGGCAGCAGCCCAGCCTCCCTCCCTCCCTCAAGTGCTGTGAGCCTTCTCTCCATGCCTTCTCTCTCCACAAAGTGCTTGCTACAGACTGATGGTGACGATTCATTTGAGGGCAGCACACACATCATTTATGACCCCAAGACGCCTGCTCCAGGTTTTTGCCCTGCTGTCAGAGGACATAATCAAGAGCCAACCTCTGTGCCAAGACTGGAAACTGATGTTAGTGTGTGGAAAAACCCATCTGTGCCCTTCATAGAGCAGACACACGTGCCTTATTATGTCCCTTCTAAAGAAAGAACAGCATGTCACAGACGGACCAGGTCTGATGGAAATGCCTTCTGGACCCCAAGTAGGTTGTTTTAGTTGGGGGGAAGTACCAAATCTCAACAACTGTTGAGATTTGCCTGTCAAATTGTATAGCTATCTGATTTTATCTTGTCCAATGGATTACATTTGCAATTTATTTGCACTTTTCACATAATCTCTGAATTTTGCCCTATTTTATTTGACTTTATCACTTAGATTCTGTGGTAAAATATAATTAAATTTCAATGATGTAAATATATTCTAGCAGAAAGAGCATGTAGAGACTCAAAAATCATGTGTTGGAGAAGACAGGTCACTCGCCCAAATCTGAACCAGTATCTGACGGGAGAGCTGGAACTAACCTCACCTTCCCACATGCCTTGTCATCTCTATTACCCCCTTCACTACTCAGTTTATGCTGAGACTGTGGTTAGCAGGTGTAAAACTCAAATGGCATGCGAGGTTCTGAGTGCTCAGGGGGTACACATTGTGATCTCTTTGGTAGGTGAAGGTAACTGCAATCACCTCATGTGCCTCTCCTGAGTATTAAGTGAGGTCATGTATATAAAACGTGCCTTTTAAGTTGTGAAATGCTAAAGCTATATTAAAGCTAAAACTGCTGTCATTTCCTTATCTTTCCCTCTGCCTCTTTACGATACCTAGACATGACTTTTTTCAGATTATTGTTCATTATCGCTAGATAATTTGGGTTATTATTCTGTTGTAATGCATTAGAACATAAGTAATTTGTAATTGCACAAGGAGAAATCTTAGCACAGTAGTCTTATAAGAAACTGTTCTTTTTCTCTTAATTATAAGTCAGTAATTATTTGCTAGCGTGGTAAAAAGAGAAGGGGGAACGTAAAAAGTAACTGCTTTCTTATTTACAGTAATTTTTTTTTCAAACTGTAACTTGAAAGTGAAGCTTAATCATATTAACTATTATTTTTTAAAGTCTTAATTTTATTTGAGGCTGATCCATTTTGAAGTCTCCCTGTTTGTCACCAGTTGCAACTATGCCCTTTGGTGCTGATTCACTGTCTACAGATATATTTTCCACAGGTGGACGCATCTTTCCAATCATGCTGTGCTTTTTCATTAAAAAAAAAAAAACAAAAAACCCTAACAGTTCAAAAAGGCCTGCATTTTGATTTTTTAATTGAAGTCCGCTTTAATGTGATTACCTAGTTTAATTGTCACAGTTGGTATTTTTCTTGACACTCATTGTTTTAGAAACCGCCATCTAATTACATTCTTTTTTTTTCTTCAACCAGCAGGTGCGACTGTTATCTCAGCCACTCAAACCTCTGAGTGGGTTTTGGGGGTGCCCCACTCCTCATTGGGTCCACACAGTAACCTGCGCACTGAGGTCCTACCTGAAAAACAAAGAGCTGTCAGTATCGCGCCTCTACCCCACCCTCGCCGAGCAGACCCTGTGCTGGCTTTTCCACTCAGAATGAAACCTCAGCCCACACAGGCCGACCCAGTGGTGGTGGGGCCTGGACCAACCCCCACCTGTGCCCCCGGCGCCAAAGAGAGAACTAAACCCCACATGCCCTCCTTGCTGGACACTGACATGGAAGGCCAGAGCAGGGACTGCACCGTGCCCTTGTGCAGGATGAAGAGCAGGATGAACCGCCCATCCATATATGATCTGGAGAAAGAATTTCTGTCTTAAGTGCCTTATATTTTTCAAGCTTTTCTTCTTAAGGTGAACAAATGAAAGCAATGTGTCTCCCTTTGAATCTTTTTCATGCTGCTAGGTTTTCAAAAACTGTGGCCTTGTTACTAAATTAGTAGTGAATGTTTGACTTCCTTGAAAAAATGTATACGATTTCTGTTAGTGTCTCTTGTTCTATTCTATTGGACTCTTGCCCAGTATCTTGAACACACAAGGGTAAAACAAGATATGAGCTGCAATGTGAAACTATTGGGTAGCATTGCCTTAAGCACAATTTTAATACTTTGTTCTCATTTGTATCCTGTCTTGTTAGTGCTGAGAAATTGGAATGAGGGCTCTATTTTTGTTTCCTTCCTTCTTTCTGCCCCTTCTTACTTTTATTTTTGTTTTTTATTTGTGAAACCCAAAACCAAGAAGAATATGTGATATTAGTAAGTAAAGGTGTCTATTTAAAAAAAAAATCGATGACTAGAATAAATACAGAGACCTATTTAAACTACCTAAATTCAGCAGTAGTCTTATGCATAAATATGTCCAATTCTCAAATTATGCAATATTTCTCTCTTTGAGGAAATTTTACTGAATGTAATTTGTAAATGTTTGACTGAATGTAATTTATAAAAGTTTTATCCATTAGAATTCCAATATAGATCTTCGGAAGATAAGCGGTCTCTGATGTGTGGTTATGACTATATCGTACCCTCCTGAGAGGCTCATCTGTAGTTTCTTCATCTTCAGTCACCATTTATTTGGTGTCCAGAAGTGTAAAAGCTTTTCATTTTGTAAAATTTTAAGAATTTTTAAGAATCGTGACACATGTATTATAAATACTTATGACATTTAATTTTATTTTTCTCTATTTAAATGCATAATTATCTGAATAACTCCAAATACAGTTAAAGAGCAACACTGCCAAGAGAAGAAACAGCAGTACTGTGAGAATTGAGGTATTTTGCAGTTATTTCACATTTCATTTAACTGTAAATAAATGTTAAACATCTGCTGAGATAACTGATATGGTGGAAAAGATACATAAGGTATAGATTATTTTCAGATATGAGTTTATAAAATACATCTTTAGATACTAGATCAGGATTTTAACGATTTAAAGATATTTTATGAGTCCCTTGTAAATCATGCATGTATGATACAAATAGACTACTGAGTTATTCAGCTACAAAATGGTTATCCAGGAGCTTGGTAAATTTCCCAGGTTTGTTGTTGTTAGAAATATGATAATATTCCTCTTCTGTCATTAGAATATGGTTGTTCAGATGACAGACAATAGATGTTTAAATTTGCCATGAAAAACTATATGATAAACATTACTTGATATTATTTTAAATTATACATGGGTTAAAGCTCATTGAGTAGTTGAAATATCAGTGATTTAAAATTGAATCATATATGATAAAATATCTATCTACTGGTAGTAGAAAACAAGGAAAATTATATTATTTGGCTACTTTACAACATCTTAGTCTCCAGGCATGTAGCCCCAGAAGATGGTGAAGAGGACATGACAGGGTTCTATTAACATTTTGCCCTAAGGAAACAATCTTGTGTTTCATATTTCTTGCAGCATAATCTCAGGTACTTGCTACATTTTTCTGTATTATTGTTCATTCTGTGGTTGGACTTCACTTTGGGGTAGCTGTTGAATTAGGTAATAAGAGATTTGGTTTCCTCAAAATTTTATCATATTTGACACACTAGTTGTCTGCTTCATATTCAGTAACTTGGGGGCATGTAACTTCCAGCTAAAAGTAAAGGAAGTACATGCCAAAAAAATAATACATGAAAGAATTATAGAAGGTGTGTTCTCAGTTTTGCTTCGACCAAAACAGTATGTGTGTGTGTGTGTGTGTGTGTGGTGTGAGAGGCAGGAAGTGGTGGGTATTTGTCTATCTTGTTCCTTTGTTCCTGCTCTTGTTTAGCTCTATTTTAGTTAACTCTACATTATGATGAATTTAGAATGAAGCTGTATTAAAAAGATAATTATGATATATTCATTTTCACATATTACTGCAGATAGTTATTTTTTGCTGAGATCTATTGTACATTTGTGATTTTCTGTTTTGTGTTAGTATACTTAGCCAAATCTGGTTATTTATTTTCATATAGATTTAATAGCACATTGAAAGATAAATTAAGCTGATTACTGTTAGTCAATAATTAAGGTGCTCCCACTGCAGATTTAAGGCTTGGACCTGATATGCTGTATCATGAAGCCTTGTGACTGAAAAAGATGTTTACATATGTTGTCTATTTTTTTAATAAACTTTTTTATAGCTAATCTATTTTCTCAGTGATTTTGATCTACTCAGTGATTGTGATTATAGTTTGTTATGATTTACTCTGTACTCAGTAAGGAAAAGTACATTAATAAAGATTATCAATGCTTAATAAGTCAGGTATTAACCTGCTAAATTCATTTGCTAAATGAGTAAATGGATTAAATACTTTTTAAAAAGTATAATGAAATATTTAAAATATTTGCTATACTTTTGCTTTGAAAAGTTGTATTTTATTGCAAGAAGTTTGCAACTTCAGCTTTTCAGAAAGCACATTTTTGCAGCATGTAATTAGTATATAATTCAAATTTTAGTTGATGCTAGAGAAATGTGCTTGATGGGATGTCAGTTATTCACATGTATAAATCAGTAGAATTTTAAAGCCAACCCAGCACCTGGTAATTCTTGTTAAGTGAAAAGCTAGATTGAATTTGAAAAGCAGATCATAGTATCTCATGCGGATCCCATGTATCACCCTACAATATCAGAGTGAGAGAAATTTAACATTCATTGTGTGTCTTCTAAATGTTAATAGTCCTCCTAGGTAGCTGTATAAAACACCTCGTGTAATTCTTTTTATAATATTTGTGAGGTAGGTAATCATACCTCTATTTAATTAGATATGAAATAAACAGCAGTTTGGTAAATTTCCAAAGACCCAGCTTGCATTTAGTCACCACTAGGTGGTGCATACTACCTGTTCACACCTATTGTAACCACACACAGAGCATAGAAGTAGAAGACATCTGAAATGTGAATTTTGTAAATGGAATCCAAAGCTAAGGCAGTTTTTCACTCATGAAATATTTCAGAAGTCCAGAATTGTATGAGTATTTACTTAAAAGCAAAGCTAACAGTGGTTTTTTAATGGAGAGCTGTCTCAGTGCATATAAAATGAAATGGAAAGTACTAAAACATAAATCTCTTATATGCCTATTCAGGAAAATGGAATATCCTGCTCAGTGGGCCTGTGAATATGGTGAAATTATTTAAGAACTGCAATGGATGAAATAATTGAGGTTAAGCTGTCTATTCTTCTGCGAGTTCAATATGCTGAAAGTTCAACAGTGAATGGCAATGGCTTTATGAATAAAATAGTGTAATAGGTATCATTTGGTAAAACAAAAATTAGCTGCTTTTTACAGCTAAGAAAAATAGGTAAGTTGAATTTTGGAGCTTCCATACACTGACACATTCTCTGAGTAGCTACTGGGATAAGCGTTGGAAAAGATAAAGGGATTTAGTGGTGAGCAAGAAATAGCACTTTTGTACTTTGCCTGCAATTCTTAATATCTAGCAAAATTAAAAATGAGAAACTAAACAGGACCAACTTCCTAGGCATGCAACTTGAGTAGCTGAGCAGTTGAGCAGAGCTTCCCACTCAGAAGGTCCCTGAACGTGATACCAACATGTTGAAATCCTTAAGTTGTGAACAGGGCTCCATCATTTTGCTTTGTAGTAGGCCTCTTAAATGATGTGACCAAGCCTGACAAAAGGAATGAGTGATACAACAGGTGAAGTAGTTATTGTGTTGGTAGCATTGGAAGAGCCAATGCTGTTTGGGCGGAGGTAAGAAAGGTGCCTGAGAAAGCCAGGAGGACCTCAGTGACTGAGGGGTGATCCCCGTATAATCACTAGTCACCGAGGGAAGTCCTTGAATCATTTTTCTCTTGTTGCTTTCCAGATTTTCTCTCTGTTTTCACCTTTCAACATTTTTACTCTGATGTATCTGGCTGTGGATCTCTTTGCATAGACCCAGGTTGGAGTTATTTAATTTCTTCACTGTGTAGATTCATCTTTTAAGCAAATTTGGGGCTTTCAACCCAATTTCTTCAGATACTTTCTTTGTTTCTTTTACTCTCTCACAGTGCTCTCATTACATATGTATTGTGTGTTCACTGGTGTTTCTGAGGCCCTATTCCTTTTTATTCTTTATCTTTTCTCAGATTATGTATAGTGATCTTCCTTCAAATCTCATTTGACATTTCAAATCTCTCAAGCCCCTCTATTAATTTCAGACAGGACTAATTTGGAGAGCAAGCTTTAAATAAGAGTTGGTCTGACCCCAGATGGGTTCTTATTAGCTTTTTCTTTGCTTAATCATCTCTGTTGAGGTAACTGGCCTACTGGTTAGCTTGTTGCTGGTAGTCAAGAGGACCCATGGATTTTTGAGAGTGCTTTTAGACTTACACTTTCCCTTACTCTGTTTCTAACGATATCTAACAAAAGTTGAACATCTCTTTTTGGATAGGCAAAGATTGTAGTGTTTGGTGATGGATAACTCTTGAGACAACCACTGGCAGTTGAATTTTGAGATAGAGGTTGAAGTTGGAGAGAGGTTCTGGACACATCTGAATTTTGGTAATAAAGAAGTTGAATAGCTCAGATAAAGTATGTGAAGAGAAATAAGCTGAAGAAAGTTCTCTGGGAGAGAGTGAAAAGTTGGAGGATGATGCAAACAGACTGACAACTAGTGTGAGTAAAAAAGGATGCTGAGAGTAGGAAGTCGTGGATGCTCACATGGCAAAATCTTGAATATTTTCCATAATGCATAACAAAGCTTTTCAGGTCGATATTATCTTAGAATTACCCCACTCCCTACAGCATCAACATTTCTCTCCCTCCTAACCGGAAGCAGATGCTCATTAGCTTTATTGAAAGAAGCAATCTTATTGAGAGCTGCCTCCCTACAAAATCCCAAGGTCAGTCATGTCAGAGGAATATAATTCCATGACCCAGAGCAAACCACCACTCTCTACTCCTCCAATTTCTTCTTTCTAAAGTGTAAGGATACAGCATAATGCTATACACCATATATAAGTTTCCTCATTTCTAAAAATATAGGTTAGGGAATTGATATGTGACTGTCATTTGATCTCATACATTCTGATTAATTCCCAGGCTCCAGTGGCCATCCTATCTCTTGCCATTCCCTAGGAGTGTCGCTGGATATGTGTCCGCAATGTTTATCCTTCTGCTGTTAGTTCAATCTAGCACTATTTATTTTGTGGCAGATGCTTTCAAAATACATCTGTAGAGAGACACTTTTAGGGGGGCGGGGGTGGGAGGGGAGGGATTGGGGTCAGAATGGGGGGGCTGCAATTGTATGGGGAATATAAAAATAAAATTTATTATTAAAAAAAAAATCAAGAAGTATCAACACAAATTTTATTAAAATAGATGAATAAAAAAAAAATACATCTGTAGAAATAGTAAAAAATAAACTCCTAACAAGGACCCAAGAGGTTCAGTTTTATCACTCTGGATGTCAAAAAGTCAGAACACATCTCCAAAATACATTTCCCACCATTGTAAACGGTCTCTTGATTGTGAGATGTAATGTGATTTGCATGCAGTAGATGCCTGAGATGTCTCAAATTCTAAACAACATTTATGTAGCAGTTAATGTTTATGAAACACATGGTATGTGAGTTATGATCTATTTTAACAAAATACTACAGTAAATTGGAGGCATTTTAAAGAAACAAGTCAGTTATAATAATTATTGAAGCATCACTTAATACACATTTGTACTACTCAATCTGGAGATGCAGCAAGGTATTTTAATTTAGTCTATTAAGGAATGTTTTCTACAGGAAATAGGTATCAAATTTATTACATAAGTCTATGAGAAAGATGTATTTGAAAAAAAGAACCTTATACAAGAGTAAAATTTTTCTGTTTGATCATGCAACTATAGTGACTCATTAGCTGTGTAAAAGTTCTAAAAAAAACTAGAAAAATACCTGTCTTATGGTTAAATAAGTTAAATTTTTCAATAAGCTAAGTCTTTTTCCCTGAACCAGGTTGTTGTTTATAGAGGTACAAACATGATTCAAATCAAGGAATTGGTAATAATTGTTCATTCTCTTTATTGACCCAAGTCAACATAATTTTAAAAATGGAAGAATTCAGTTAAAACTGTTTGCTTTGGATTTTCTGCTTTCTATACACCAGATGGCGATATAGATATATTATTTCATGGCACTATAGGTATATTATTTCACAGATAGGGAACCCCAACACAGCTTGATTATTTAAAAAAAAATTATAACCAGGGCCTCTCCAGTGGCGCAGTGGGTTGAGCGCAGCACTGTGAAACTGTCAGCAGCCTCTGCAGTGAGGGTTCAATTCCTGGCCGGCCAGGGAGATTCCCACATGACGAGGCAGAACTCTACTGTCTCGCCTGCTGCTCCCCTCAGCAGTGTATTTCGGTCGTCTGCCTGTTCTGCTCCCCACTGTTTCTGGTGAATCGTCTCACCCTCCGCGCCTCTGGCCTGTACCCCAGCTCTTGTATAAAAAAAAATCTTTAAAAAAAAATTATAACCAAATGTATATGCATAGAAGAAAGTGTGATTTGGCAAGGTATTGGAAAGATGAGCAATGGAGAATGATTTTTCAGTGAAGGTGTAACAGGAACAAGAAGATAATCTTATAAAGTGATCTTTTTCTATACATCATCTGTTCCAGATAGGAAGACAAGGATTGAGTTTTATTGCTGCCAGTTAGGTCAAATTTCCAAATGACTGTATAAGTTGAGACAGAATTGAAGCAAAACCTCTCAAGTGGTAGATGTGGCATCATCCTTAGACACTGGGGGGACATGGAGTTCCCCTGCTACACTCAACAAGCCATGTACAATATCTGCTTAAGTAATGTTCCCTCATTTCCACTAAAATATAAACATACTTTGTCACATACTTTGTCTCTCACTGGGTACTGTTCTTGAGTGAGCTTTATAAACTCCAAAAGCCTCATTGGACAATAATAGCCCCATTCTTACATAGTTCAATAAAGATTGAATAAAACAATGTGTTTAAATGTCTAGCATTTTAACCATTGTTGTTATTAAACACACTTCTGCAAACATCAAATTATTGACTTTGAATAAATTGCTATGTATTCAAATAACTGGGTCACAGGTAAGCACAATTCTGGATACCTATTTGAATGTTTTTTTTTAAATTTTATTTTTAATTGAGGTAATATTAGGATACTCCCACCGGGTATCACCACTGCAGTACAACCACCACCAAATCACCCCAG